CACCAGGTTTCTAAATTGACCCTTCCTTGTCTTGTTGCCAAGAAGACTCTGATTGAGTTAGACTTCCTACTACTTTGTTGGTATTAGAATACTAGAATTTGAAGAAGAGTGGTACTTTTGAAATGAAAAGTGGTTGTTTGGTATAGGAATTAAGGTAACCTGTGATGTGACTGATGCAAATGTATAGTTCGATGACCACACTGTAATCATGTAATTTACTCCTCTAGTCCTCTTTCATGAAACCACGCAGTATCCTTGGAATACTAGAATTGGATGAAAAGTGGTTGTTTGGTATAGGAATTAAGGTAACCTGTGATGTAATTGTGATGCAAATGTATAGTTTAATGACGACACTCCGATCATGTAATTTACTCCTCTTTCACGAAACCATGCAATATCACTGAGGTACTACGGATCCTTAAACATAGGATCATTTTGTGGTCTTGTTGGAGCACTATGCAGCCGGCTCCTGTACTCTTTGAAATGCTATTACTTATTGTTGCTCTGCAGTTTACCTCGTTCTGTACCTGCATTATTCTTGAACACCTGGATGGCGGATTCACATGATATGGTTTTCACGTTGCAGGCTCTTTCTAAAAGAATTCATTATGGGAAATTTGTAGCCGAGTCCAAATTTCGAGCAAACCCAAGTGAATATAAAACTGCTATTGAAGCGCAAGTAGGTCCTTAAAACCAGAGACCGTGGTGTTTTGTTCCCGACACTTTTTTCTCTAGATACTTACTATGTTGGTCTTTGGATGGACTTCTGAAACTTTGCAGGACAGGGAAGGATTGATGGCTTTGTTAACGTACCCAGAAGTGGAGGAGAGAGTAAAAGAGAGAGTCGAGATGAAAGCCAGGACCTTTGCTCTAGAAGTGACAATGAAAGAAGGCAAAGTTGAATCTGAAACAGTATACAAGATTGAGCCACACTTGGTTGCTGATCTCTATGGGAGATGGATCATGCCACTCACAAAGGAAGTCCAAGTTGAGTACTTATTGAGAAGGCTGGATTAGGATGTTGAGCCAAGTTCGTTTCTGAATGTTTTGCAAGGTAGGAGATATTTGATAGAATTCCAATGTAAAGATTGAACGAGAAGGAATTAATGGATCTGGAAATTGGGAACAAACCCTATATGCTATGAAAATGCAGATATTGGTTTTCATAAATGATATTCAATAGGCGAGATTCTTCTTTCCCCTTTGTTCCTTTTATTTTCGATTGATCAGTATGTGTGACTGAGGATGCAATGAAGATTATTTCATGCATGGTATTCGATAGATGAGACTCTTTCTTTCCCCTTTTTGTCATTTGAGATATTGATTGGGATCAATATGCCTTGTATCAGTTGTCAACTCTGCACCCTACATTTGAAAGTGGAATGAATGATGATTGACTTTTTCAGTTTTCAACCCGACAGAAGGTCTTATAAGTTTTGACAGCACAGAGTTGGGGACAGGAAGAAGGGGATACGCCATGATTGAAGCCGCGTTTACCGTGACAAAACGGTGGAGCTGGTAAAGAGGAGGAAAAATGCTGATCTGGTCACTGAAATCGTAAGCAAGTATCACATAAGGAGCTTAAGTTTTCCTGTTGTTGGTGAAGGAATTACTAAAACATCAAAGTATCTCGAATGAATCACCGTTAGTTATTTTGTAGTTTCATCTTAACACGGTAAGAAATTTTTATATTCCCTATATGATATCTTAAACCAAAAAGTGATAACCAATACATTCTCTTAGAAAGTCGGCATTTTTTTTAGTTTTTTTTTTACCACTTTTTGATTGTTAAAGAGAAATCTACCAGAAAAAATATGATAGATGATTATGATATTCCATGATATAAACTTATAAAGTTAGATCATAAGATTATTCATTAGGATTCCCCAATTATTTCTCAAACCGAGAAATGAAAGAGAAGGTGATTACAAATTTACACTTGTACAATATGCATTATATTTTTTCATATGTCATTACACTTCTTGTAATTCACTAGTAATTATCATATCAACCTAGTAACGAAGAGTCATATCAAGTAATGATTGTTAACTTGATCAAGTCAGTATTGCTTAAAAATAACTTCCCTGAATATAATGGAACACATATCACCATCTCGGTGATCAAATTGATATTTTACACCGAAATTACTTAACCACCGCCGTCGTCTCTGTCATGACAGGCTGCTTTGACTAGGTTTGTCATTTCTGTTTAACTTAACGGCAAAAGCAACGTTAATAATAATCCGTTGGCTTGCTTTTACGGCGGTTGTAGATCCAGACAGACAGAGTGGACAAACTCTCTCCTTTCTCGGCTTTTCCTTTCTCCTCTTAAAAGCAGCGGTTACTTAGAACCGCGTCCCTCGATATTTCTAGTCTCTACTAAAATCTTTTGTCCTCTGCCCAGATAAGAGCCTTCTCAAGTCAGACAGAGACAGAGAGAGGGCAGGAACAGCAATGGAGAAGAGGCTGCTGACATTGGCGGCGGTGCTATTCGCCGTGGTCGCGGTGGTGCCGGAAGTTTCTGCTACGAGATGGACTGTTGGATCTAAAATGGGGTGGACTACTAATGTCAACTACACTATCTGGGCTCAGAATATCACCTTCTACAATGGCGACTGGCTCTGTAAGTCCCCCTCTTTCTAAACCTTCTCCTTCTGGTTCTAATTTCTTATTCTCGTTAATTGAACTTCAGATCGTTATTACTTGACCTTCCGTAAAGCCAGTCCAAAGACTCTGCTGCATACTTTCTGCTAAAAGATTGTTGCCCATTTCGGGAATTCGCATTTACAGATCTGGGAAGAGTGAATTGGAAATTAAAGTTGAGGGCTTTTTCAGTATTCATGGCATTTCCATTTCAAAAGAACTTTTTTTCCACTTCCTTAGCCAAATTTCAGATCTGCAACTCCCCCTTAAATATCAATGTCTTGGTGCCCTTTTGGGAGCCTGAGGCATAGCTGCCCTGGTTTCACAAATTCTCTGACGAATCCGTCGGAGCAAAGTAATTCGGATTTATACGCTTGATTGTGTAGCCATCAGAGGTTTTATTGTGGGTTGTATTGCTACTATTACTAGCTAATTCTTCTCTTGTGCACCGTGAAGCACGTCCTCTTCTTAATTGGTCTTTCCGATGGAAAGTTGAGTCCACAATTAAGACTCTTTTGTGCTTGGTTTTGCAGTTTTTGTGTACGACAGGAACCAGATGAACGTGCTGGAGGTGAACAAGACTGACTATGAGAGCTGCAATGCCGACCACCCACTCAAGAACTGGACCAGAGGTGCTGGAAGAGATGTGGTTCCGCTCAACGTGACTCGACACTACTACTTCATCAGCGGGAAAGGGTTCTGCTATGGAGGCATGAAGCTCGCTGTTCGAGTCGAGAACCCGCCTCCTCCACCAAGGGCCTCACCCGTCAAGAGTGATGCTCCTTTATCCATTCTCAACCGGCCCTATCTTCTGCCTGCTGTTTTTGCCATTGGGGCGATGTGGGATGCTTTTGTCCACCTCTGGTAGTGAAGTAAATTTGTTCTTATTTCCTAGCCAGTACCTACATTGAGGATGTAACAACACAACAACCACCACCATCACTGCTGAAATGGCGTTGGTGGTGAAATTTGAGCACTTCTCTCTGCATTATTTAATTTGTTTACTTCAACCTTCTTTTTTGTTACTTATCTGGGTGGTGCTGTGTCTAGTGTTTATTTATGGTGTACACTGACGTGAAAGGCTGGATCATTGTCTTGTTGATGTTCTAGTTGAGCTTTCTGGTCTGCTGTGTACTTTGTATGAGAATTGTGGATTAATTTTTACTTCATCCAGCAGATCATAGTAGGCTAATGATCTGGTGTTTATGAATTATTGTTGGGTTGTCGCTTGAATACAGAGGAACTCTGGTTTGGCCATTGAGGTATCAACATTGATTTGCCGTTGTAGTAGGGTTCTTGTTGATTACGATTTACGGTGGTGTGTCTGAAATTTGCTTGCATTAGAGGTTCTTGAATGATCATGGGTGTGACTGTAGTGAAGGGATCAGAGTTGTTTTAGCTGAATTTGCAGTTCCGTTCTAAGTTCATACTATACTATAGTGTTCGACATCAAGCATTTGATTTAGTACCAACGACGTGGCAAACTCCTCTATTATGTTGCCTACACTACCTACTAAAGAACACGATTCTTAACGATGAAAAATTGTTGTCTTGAAGTAAAACACTCACAATTTCGTTCAATGCGACTTCAAGGCATCTGAAACCCTTTCGAATTTGGTCAAGCTAGTTCACATTCTTTACCAAACAAGACTCACCAACATCAAAAGTCTCCTCAAGCTAACATCTTGCCTCTCTTACAAAATAAATAAAGGAATGTTTGGTTGGCAATTACAGCACAAAATCTGGAACATGGGTAGTCGCTATCAGACCAAATACACCAAGATTGCCAACTGGAAGATCCTGTATTTTTTCCTGTCTCCATTATTGCTCCCTGTTGGATTATGGTAGTAGCTTCCTTCACGTCTGGTGTTCACATATTGGGTAGTTGGCAACTATCATGGGCGGTGATTAAGGACAAGAATGACTTTCATTTCTTTGGCACCCCTGTCGAATCACACACGTCCCCACTATTTCCCCCATGAAAGCGCTAATTCGTGTTGACAAATTATTCCTATAAAACCATATTGTAACAGATATTCCTCCCATTGTTTTATTTCCCATCATATATTACTTTACCATTGACTACTAAAAAGTTGAAAAATGGTTTCTTCTATGATTGTGTTGTTGAATCGGCCTGGATAATCAAATCAATAAGTTAGTAGTTTACGGTTTAATGTTTAGTTGTTATAGAACTATAACTAAATCTTTTGTTGAACCATTCATATAATACCCTAGTCAGGTCCGGCCGGTTCGGTTCGATCTAGTTCTGATAAAAACAAAATGGGGTCCGCTAAGAAATCAATGAGCTTTCTACACAGCTGACCTACACAAGCAGTTTATCCAGGCTTCTAAGCTCGGGTTGCCTTCTGTTTGGGCTCAAAACATTACCTACTCCTCGCGGGCCTAACTTTTATCCAGCCCGTATGTATTGGCAGTGGCACAATCAAGTTGGAAGCGAGCTATAAGAAAGTTCGGAAAAAATTAGTGTTTTTGAAATCGTATTGTACCAATGATTCAACCTCAGCATGATTTTACAATTTTTGAAAAAAAATCAAATCATCAACTGTGAAACAGATTCAATAAACTTAAGCACAGGGTAAACACTATAAATTTAAATAAGAATAATAATTTAAGAGAATGATATACAAAGATTACCTCATAGAATGATAACCAAAGATAAATCTCGTTGCGGACAATGTGGCTAACCATCTACGTACGTAGCATCGAGGAGGGTCAAAACCTCCTATGTTTGAGTCGCTCTCCTACAATAAAAGCGAGCTCGAGAGACTGAGAAGCATTCAGCCGCCTAGGGTCGCAATGGGCACGGTAACCAGAACTGAAATCGTCTAAAGTGACCGTGCAAGATCCTCCAATCCACTCTTCTGTTACATGTTGGGAGCCAATCATCTCGAGGTGGATTCCTCCTGGATGGCTTCCTTCTTGGTCATGAACATCGAAAAATGCACCTGCTTCAGCCTGAAACAGAGATGGTAATTAAAAAAGATTGATCATGACTGGCGAACAATTATCCACTTCAGCGTATCCATCATCAACTATCAAATGTGATAACGGATTTTGATATGATGAAACTTACCAAAACACGATCAAATGGACGAGTCTTCAGTTTATTTGACGCTTTGATGTTTCGTCGACCATGCATGGGATCGCAGACCCATGTCACGATTTGCTTGGAACGATTAACAGCTCTGATCAGTTCCGGAAGCTTGACTCTCAGCCTCTCGGAGCTCATTCTGCTGATGATGGTTATTCTCCCGGGCAGGTTGGCAGGGTTTAACACCTCAATCAGTTTCACCAGTTCGCTTGGCTCCATCTTGTCGCTCACCTGTGCATCACAAGTACAAGTCTTCCCTAGCATTACTACTTTGATGTAGTGAAAGGCCAAAATGCTATCACAACAACGAAGTCATCACATACTTTTATGCCAAGAGGATTGGAGATTCCTCTGAGGAACTCTACGTGGGCACCATCGATTTGTCGAGTAGTTCCCTCTCCACACCACAGCATGTGAGCAGAGCAATCGTAGTAGAGTCCTGTTGCAGAATCGAACCTCGTAAGGGATTGCTCATATGGCAACAACGAGCAATCATGGGAAGTCCAGAACTCTGCTCTTGCCATAACGGGGTGTTCTTTTGGTACCCCGGCAGCTTCCATGAACCCTAAGGCCTCATCAACCTGATTCGTCAAGTCTTGGTACCTATCTCCCATCTCAGCAAAATCGAGATTCCATTGTGTAACCCTTTTCATCGAAGCAAACCCTCCAGTGGCTAGTGCTCTAAGCAGGTTGAGTGTGGCTGCAGATCGGCCGTATGTCTTGATCATCTTATGTGGATCTGGAATCCTTGACTCATCACCATTGAAATTGTCCCTCTTGTAGCTTGTATTCTCAAATTGACTAGCCATTCTCGCCACCTAACACAATAATAAAAATTAAACCATCTCCTTTTTAACAAGGGTGCTGAAGTTAGTCAGTCTGGGAAATCAGAATTCTGACCTTGATAATAGGGACTTGGCCGCCAAACATGAGAAGAGTGGCCATCTGAAGCAAGATGCTGAAAGTGTCCCTGATACGATCACCATTGAACTCCTTCAAGCCCTCTGTCGCACAGTCCCCGCCGCATTGGAGAAGGAAAGCCTTTCCGAAGGCAGCATCTCCCAGTCTGTCATGGAGACTCCTGGCTTCCCCCGGGGTGACCAGTGGGGGGAACTCTTCAATATCATTCACCTGGTTTTGATATTTCGGCAGCTGTAACGTCTTCTTTGTTCCCCAACTGTTAACGATCCATTTCTCCGGGAAAGGAGGAGGAACGGCGGCCGGGCGCACTGGACGGTGGGCGGGTTTTTGGAGACGATGGAATGTTGTGAAGTGGCAGAGTTGGGGTTGGAGAGGAAGAAGTTGAATTGGAGCAGCTTTGGAAGGGACATGGTAACCGAGGAGGCGAGTATAATGAGGCCTGCGCCGCTCTTATTCCGACGGGCTAGGGCTAATGCTTGATTGGGCTCAAAACATTATCCACTCCTTCTGGGCCCAACTGTTCTCTAACCCATATATAGCCGCAGTTGGCAGGCAGGTGAACAAACAAAGAAATTCCGGGGAGAATAAAACAACTTCCAACAATCAAACAAATTCAATAAATAATAATGCCCATATAAAGGAAGCTAAAGAAATGTATTTTTTTTTTATAATATGAATATGATGCTTATTTGGACTTTCCATATGATACGCCAATGGTTTGCTCCATCGTAACCCATGCAAAGATAAACTCCGATCGTCGTGAAGTTTTATTTGAATCAAAACGGGGCCTAGGTTTTACTACGAGCGTGGGATTGTTTCTGATATTTTTGAATCAAAATAAAAAATGGTTAATTTGTCATAAGTGCTTATGACACGCAATTTATTGAAATGTATTGAAAGTGTGCGATTACAATTATCGGAAGTGTGTCGGAGGTCCGAAATTCAAAATTTCTGTAGCGACAAAATATGTATTTTTCACAAAATTTTCGGGCTGAGGTGTGTTAGTGGTTAATCAAAATGGAAGCATTGACCACAAAGGCATAATCATCCCATCCTTTAATTATCATTAAGCCTAAAAAGTTGTAGCATTCTGTGCAATCACACATGAACGGTTAATTTTAATTTCCTGTAATGGTTTTATTATGTTAACTAGAAAGTGACGAAAACAGTAATTTTAAAGATCACGGTTGCATGGGGGAGTATACAATTTCGAGTTAGGCGGGCCACAGGAAATTACAGAGCTATTGAACAGGGGAAGAGGCAAAGCGTGCTTTGAATGAATCCCAACTTATCTCTTTCACCAAAACCAAACGATGTTGAAACAATCAACTAAGGGATCGTTTGGTTTTGGTGATAGTTAAATCGATGTATTGTCATCAATGCATGCATAATAATATATATGTATATAAGAAAATTGGTGTATTATAGTTTACATCGTTTGGTTTCTGTGATAGTTATTGTAGTATTTAAATAAATTATATCACTTTCTAGGTGAAATGTCACTTGTACCCTTTATTTTTAATATAGAAAGCAAACACACATAAAAAGGTAGGGACATATTTGAAAGAAGAAGAAAACACAACAATCTCCATCAAACAATCTCAACCGAAAACTTGAGATTTAACTATCACTCATTTTGAGTGATAGTTTGTGTCAAATCAAGCAAACAATGCATGTATTGTTTGCACAGAAAATTCAGAAAAACGATGCATTGTGGACATTGCATGCATTGTAACTATCCCGACCAAACTATCACCAAAACCAAACGACCCCTGAGAATCAACCAAGAACAGATCACTTAGGGTGACACTTGGTTATCACGCCGATCGGCGTGACACCGATTGTACCGGGTTCAACCGATACCGGTCATAAAACCGGCGTGACACCACCAGCATGACCGACATGATCGATATACGAATCTCTAAGTAAAATGACTTTAATTTAGAGAATTTAATTGATAAAAATTATTTTATTATTTATTTTATGAGTATAAAAGTTAAATATTGATGTTATTTATTGGATTCAAGTATAAATGTTTAGGTATTCACGTTAAATGTCATGTTTAAATATGAGTATTTATAATTTTATTTGTAATATTGACCAGCATGAACCGGTATGTGCCACCGGTTGAACCATTCCACTTGCTAAACCGGCACACTGATATAAACCGGTTTGACAACAGTGATCCTACCAAAAATCAAAGCTATCCTATGACAGCAGCAGCAGAACTCCTACGTTGATGGGCTTTTTGGGCCGGCCCTCTAGCCACGTACGAAGAAGGGTGTTCATGGTGGTGGCCATCATTGGGTGATCCATCACACACTAGTGCATCTAATCATCTCTGCAAAAACTGCTGCTAAACATTCTGTACCGGGGAAGGCAAAATCAGAAGTAGGGAGGATAGGTTGCAGCTCATCGCCGGTCATCACCTGCATTGGCAACCAGAACCAAAGAAGATTTACGGTGGTAGGAATGGACTTCCGAGTGTCGTCTTAAGAACTGAAGAAATGAAGCATATGCAAAGCAATCAATCGGGTAAATGCTTACTGTATTCCAGGAGTGTCGTCATGGCATGGTAGTATCAGCTGGATAACTCCCTAAAATCCGCAAGGATGTTGCGAGCTTCTGCAAACAGAGGATATAAACACGCGTTTCATGGCAAGTCCAACATGCAATGAGGAACAAGAATCATTGTGCAACAGAAAAGCTTGTGAAGGAACAACAAGACTCACTTCCAGATCTTGCAGGGCCATTTTAGCATCATCACTAGCCATTGAAGCCTCAAAATCGGCATAGAACAGATAATGAAAGTATCTGCAGAAAACCATACTACTACTGCATGAACAAGATAAAGAGATAAATTGAGGGGCCTACAAAACAGAAACCAGCTATTTGTCAATAACTTACTTCTGAAGTCCACTGGCATCCACTCCAGGAGATGTCAGAGAACTCCACCTCATAGGGCGGCTCTCGATCTTGTTCAAAACAAAGAACAAAGGGACCAAAATCATGAACATGCATATAGCATACGAATTTTTTTGGCAGGGAATGAGGGGCAAAGAAGAAAATTACTTTCGTGAGGTTGATTTGCCTCTCTGCAAAAACTGCAAGAGCCTTGTGAAGTATTCCAGGGCCCTCCTCAAGTGAAAAGACTATGCTTGTCTGAAAACCAAAGAAACAATGTTATCATGATCCCTACCTGTTAGGTTAGTCAGGCAACAGTAAATACCAATACAATTACTGTCATGTTAACCTTGAAGGGACGATCAGTGCCTGCAATTATGGGCTCCCTCGCCAACATCAGAAATCTTGTAACGTTGAGAGAGGCATCCTAATAGAATAGGAGCACAGTTACGAACTGCCGTTTTAGCATCAACATAAAACATCATCAGGAATTTAATACAAAAAATGTTGAAACCTGAATGTCTTCTGCTAATATATCTAGGCCATAGATTTCAGCTGCAGCGGAACTAGCAACAGCTCCTGTGTCCTCCAATTTCTCGAGTGCAACATGCTGAAATCAGGGAGTTCAATCCCAGCAAAGTCGGAGAGGAAAAAGAATAAAAATAAATCCGGGATTAGGTTAGCCACTCAATGCAGTTCCAACGATACAATCCCAAACGTAAATGCAAGGATGGTGCAGACCAACCAAAACCTGAAACGCATCAAATCTCATGTTACCTTTGCTGCACCAGCAGTATCATCCACTGCTTCTCTAACCAATCCCAACCTGGTTAATGTATATTCACATTGAGCAAGTGCCTGAAAAATGTTCCAGTAAATCCTCCAGTTGGTTGAGCTGAATAGGAATCGATGCAACAATATATTCAGCAACATACCTGGGGATGACTTAGAACCTTCTTCAAGTGTTCAACTTTAACACCTTGATTTGCTAGCAAGCAATGACGAACAGCATATTTTATTTCTCCCACTATATGTAGCCTGTGTCGGAGTAAAAGGTCGTAATTTCTGTGGATACTCCCACCCAAAGAGTTTTCGATGGGTAACACGGCTCTGTCCACAGAGCAGGCTTCAACAGCCTGTGAAGGTTAATGTCAAAAGGCCGTGCACAATACAGATGTACAAATTAAGATTCTGATGTGATGGAGCTTCATCTATAAGTCACAAATCTGTAAAGCGATTTCAAACTAACATTGGTGCACCACTGAAAACTGAATTCCAACTCCCACACATAGCAAATAAAAAGTGTGGCTTTACCTAACAGTGAGCAAGAGAAGCCTAATTTGAGGTCCTCGGTATTAATTCAAAGCATGATAAGTTCCAAGTTTCTCCGTTCACATAGGACAATCAAAGCAAAATCGGACATCCCAGTAAAAGAAACATCATAAAGAAGAGAAATTTACTTCAAATGCAGTTTCGAATTGATCGCAAGGCACTGGCTCACAGTTGGGATATGCCTTCAGGGCAGCAGATTCGCTATGTGCCCCACAGAGCCCCTGCATTCAAATTTACATTTTTCAGTAAAAACACGAAATCAAGTAGAGAAAATCACTCTTTTATCAGAAACAACATATCGAAATGCAGAAAGCGACAGCAAACCTGATAAGCAACGCGGAGGGGAGAACCACCGCACTCTGAATTAGGCACTGGCGCCGACGTCAAACGCCCTGTTGAAAACGAGCAGTAGAACAGCAATTGAATTGAATTCCTCCAACGAAAATCATACAAAAGAGAGAAAATCGAAGCCAAATCTAAAGTAAGAAAAATCCCTACTCGGAGGCGAATCCTGGGTAAGCACATTGCATGCAGCGGGAACAGCTCCATCAGACGAATTGGTGTTACCGAATGTGGAGGCTCGCACCGACACGCAGGAGCGCCGTCTTAGCAGCTGCGGCGATTGATCGGAGCGCGAGGGTTTAGCAGGGGTTCGGCTCGTGAGGGGGGAAATTAAGGATCGCGTCAGAGAAGCGGCCATTGTCGAGTCCGCCGATTGTGACGCAAGCGAGAAGACCCAGGTGGCGCCTGGCCGGCGGTAAACAGCAGATGAACTTTGCGGTGAAATTTTGTAGAGTTTATGGGAATGGAATAGAAGTTATAGAACAGTTAAAGTAAGGTGAATTATCATAAATTTTCACAAACCTATTCAATTTGTAAAAAATAGTCACAATTCTTTAATTTTGTACGTTTTCGATGAAACAAATTTGAGTGAATAACGAATTGGTCAATCTATCTACTCCCATCTAAAACTCTACCTAGTCGGCATGGCACGACAATAAAAATATTATTAAATCGCACAACCCAACCAAATCAGTAGCTCTCTACCCATCCGGTCGTACCCTACCAACCCTCCCAACTTGAAGAGAGAAAGAGAGATAGAAAGGTTGGCTTCATCAATTAACGTCGTTTAGAAGTTGCGTATGTATGTTAAATCGTTGTATTGTTATGAATCATTATGATATAAATGATGCATTGGTACAGTAGATGCATTTTGACATTACAATATTTGGTTGTTGAGATTATAATTTACGAATTGATTATCACAAAGTTACTTTATAAAAAAATGTCACATTTGTCCTCCATATTTAATATAAAACAAAAGAAATTATGGATATAAATTTGAAAAGAAAAGGGATAATACCATTAAACCAACAATCATAACAATCACAACTTCTAGTTTAGATTGTACAATCACTCATTTTTGTTGATTGTAGGTGGGACCCACACAAAACAATACATGAATTGTTTTTCAATTTGTCACTTTTGTATCGTGGACAGTGAATGTATTTAACAAATACAACACTAACAATTACAATTTCCAAGAAAACCTCTAAGAATCACTTCTTATGATTTGATTGTCATAAATTAATTTATTAATCAAATTCCATTTGAAATAATTTATATTCTGGAAAGAAAAGACATCCACTCCTCCATTCTGTAGTTCTTTTGGAACCTTATTTCTTTTTCTAACTACTCTCACTAGCTTTGAACAGCTAAAAGAGCATACGTAAAGCACAAAAGAGAACTATATATGCATGTTTTCATGCATCAGGATCAGGTACAGGAAGGAGAAGGAAAAGGATGGATACCATATCACATGACATATCCTCTTCATTTTACTTTTACTACGTACCTAAACGCTTCTCTTTTGACCATAAAGCATAACCACTGCCATGTGCAGCACGCAGACTAGTTTCAAGCTGAAGCCAAAGAAAAGCTCCACTCGATCGATCATCTCTCCTTACTCTGCCTGCAAAATGCTCCCCCACGCCAAGAAAAGATAGAAAGCAAAGAAGGAGAACAATGAAGCTGATGGTTATGGCGGGAGCAGTAGTCGTCATATTGATCATCATGGCCGGAAGCGGTGAGAGCTCAGTCCTTGAGAAGGTCGGAAGCAGAAAAGGATGGATCCCAAACTTCAACTACACTCAATGGTCTAGTACTCAACACCATCTCTACGTCGGCGACTGGCTTTGTGAGTTTCCTTCCTAGTACTAATTACTACTAACGTTGCATTTTTACCTTACACTACTCTTTCAATTTGGCTATCACATTATGCTACACGTAAACATGAATTGATCTCAACAACAACAATGTATCTTGTTCTGCTTGGGGTTGCATTTAGTGTTCGTGTTCGATAAGCGGTACTACAATGTGCTGGAGGTGAACAAGACGAGCTACGACGGGTGCGAGGAGAAAGGGTTCGCGAGGAACATAACGAAGGGAGGGAGGGACGTGGTGGAGCTCACCGAGGCGAGGCCCTATTACTTCATCAGCGGCGGCGGTTACTGTTGGGGCGGCATGAAAGTTGCTGTCAACGTCGAAGCACGGCCAGTTTCACTGGCGCCAGCGCCGGCTCCTAGCTCTCACGCTAACGATGCAGTTGCCTTACCAGCTAATTATTACCATGTTGCATGCGCTTCAATATGCTTCATGATCATTATCCTATATATTATTGTTGTGTAGCTCTCCCCCTTCTCTAACTTTTCTTTCGAGTCGTCAGATGGATTGTTGAAGTTGCGAGAAATTGAGAGTTATGGTTGATCCAACTATGTTATAGACTTAATAGTATAAGTAGAGAAGCATGTATTCGTCAACATAATAGTGTAATGGCTTTCTTTAATGTGTATTATTATTTTTCTGTGTGGCTGACATTGAGGTTAATTATTTCCTCAACATATATGTATGCTTATATTAATTAGGAAAAGTAGAATATTGTGACAAAAAGGCATTACTTTGGCTTAGTATGCATATATTGTGAGTATATGAAGAAGTTAGTATTTGTGCTTTTGCTCTCTCTTTTTTTCCCCTCTTTCTTTTTCGCTTTTAGCTTGGGATGGAAGAACTGATCAAGATGCACTATCTTTTGTGTCATTGAATATTGGTGTAAATTGTATTGATATAAATCTATAGTAAGTACGGATACATTATTTTATTCTTTCTATTTTTTACCTCTTTTTTTGGATGACGTCTTTGTTGTTGATGAGTAGTGTGTACGTTTATTTTTTTTTTATCATTTGCATATTTTTTAGTGAATTAGCGTCTAGTATCAATTTATTATTTTATTTATATAGAAATTATCATGATCGATTCCACTTTAAATATCAACTAACCTAAACAGAGTCAGAAACTCATAATTTGCGGTTTCTAAAAAGATTGTTCATTATCGTTATTCCGAAATTTGGACATATTTTACCAAAATATTTTCTAAAAATTTGGGGGTAGTCTCAATTAAGACAAGAACAAGAAAAACTCTAAGCTTTACAGGATTTTACACATATTACCAAAGATGAAAGATGTAGGAAGATTATTTCTCCCTTTTTACTCGCACAAAGAAGCCCTGTCCTCTCCTCTACTATCGCCCCCGTTTGCTGATCACGCTTATGAAAAATTCATATTAACCAAATTCATCTCTTCTAGCTAGCTTCTGCATCTCAAACATGGGTAGCCAGCCCGAATCTCCATTGTTGCCACAACACCATAACAAACCCACGTACGCCGCCGCCGGCGTCGTCTTCCCCAAACCCACCGATCCTCCGCCTCCGCCATCAACAACATCCCTGCCACCTTCGCCGCCGGTTGATAACGATCATTGTAACGACGTTAAACCAGAACCCGTATTTGATTGTTCACCCCGCTGTCTCCGTGTCACCACCGTCCTCGGCGTACTCCTGCTCATCGGCATTCCCATCTATTACGTGATAGAAGACCAATTGGCACCCTACTCACCCAACGCCGACGTCGTTTCAGCCTTCGTGTCAATAAAAAAATCAAACACCAGTAATGGGCCGGCCTTGGGCCGGTTAACAGCCAATTGGGCCTTCACTCTCCATCTCGACCACTCGCTCCCTTGCTGTCAGGCCGTGTACCCGTACCGAGTCGAGGCTTCCGTTTATCACCACGCTGACGGCGGTGAGGGCCCGGCCCGTGACCGGCACGTGCTGGCGTCGACTCGTCAGTTTGCGGGGTTGAGCGTTGACCCGAAGGTGGACGATCTGACTTTTTTTATTCAGTTGGGAGCGGAAGGAGCGGACGTCGGGGAGAATGTGACGGCGGCCATTTATAGGGATCTGGCCGAATTGGAACAGAATCGGTTGCGGTTCAGAGCTGTGATTCTGGTTTGGGTGAGGATCGAACCGTATAACTTCGGAAGCCGGTATTATTTGGCTCGGATTAGTTGCGACCCGTTCTGGACCGGTTCGGCTAGTATTGCGGGCAAGTCCCTCAATTATAACAAGAAATGTCAAGTCCACGTGTAAGTATACAAAAATTCTTATCATCTTAGAAAAATTCGTTTTGGGAGTCGTAAAATTCTTATCGCAATTTTTATAGGTTTCCCATGCTTTGATTTTGCACAGGAAGCCAGGTTTGTCAATATATATGTAATGTATAATTGTATGTTATGGTTGAGCAGGATTGAACAAAGCCATCCGAGTTTCTTGGACCAAAATCGAACAAGACTGAACACTACAACAATATAAGCGGGAAGTGAAGCTCTGAGTTGCGCAAGTGTTGTTTTTAGTACTACGTCTGAATTTTTGTAAAAGTAATGGAAATATGGAGATGAATGTTGGTTTTAGATCTGATCTTATAGTAAGGAGTTGAGGATGTTAGATGGATAATTTATTTAGAGGTTTGTTTGGCAAGCATGTATTCTAAATGGATGTTCAGGATACATACTTTATTTTCTTTTTCATGTTTTGTACGAATGTTTGGTATTCAACTCCTCATTTAATAGAATGCATGATAAATATGGACAAACTTTGGCTTAATCCAGAGATATGGAGAAATTATAAATCAAACATTGAACAACAATATCACATGAATTACTTCAGTCTCGCTTACAAAACGAAAAATATTTTTTTTGTTATGCTATACATACGTGTCCAAATATTTTTTATTATTATGCTTTTGGACTTTGAGTTACTTGTGCTTCTGTTATGTCTTTGGTTGTTGACAATACGAGTGGCATCCCGATTGCTATCAACCTTGTTCTTCATGAAAGCACAAAGCATATGAAGCATCCACTATGTACGTGACTTTATCAATGAAACTGTTCTCGTGCTTCATTATTTGCCTATTGATGAAGGATAGCAACCAGGTGTAAGAAACCCGCTTCTAAATGTGTTTCTGGCACCGGGGAATTATAATATTTTTATATTAAAATTTGTATGCTTTATTCTTAATATGAAATAGGTTGCATACAATCAGCCTTGAGAAACCACCAAATCTTGGGGCCTGTCAACAAAAACATCATCTTCGTCCCACTTACAAAGTTTATTGGCCATGAAATGGATTCACTTTGTTATTATTACAGTCTGAAGAATCCATGTCACCCCGACCAATTGAATTGGATAGATCTCTAATTTCGCGCACACTCAGTCTTCTCCACTTTCCTTGTATATGTATTTTTTTTAATTAGATGCTATATTCTGTTACCAATTGGTTTGATATAAAAGTAAAATACTGGGTACCAGATTTTAAATTATTACAATAAGTGTCACATCTCTCGTGAAAGTTGATATCTCAAAATATTGTGCAAAATGTTCTTTTGTGTCGTGTTGTTTTTTTTTTTTTTTTATGGTTTTGCAGATTCCCAGCTTATGTGACATTTTCTATCAAAATTTCTAAAATGCTATGTCATTAATTCGTTATGAAAATTTCACCAAGAAAAAAGAAATTGTTATGAAATGATGCGTTTCATTATTATTTCTATAAATTACTTACTGGGCTCGATCTATTTTCCCGATGATGTAGCTAGCCGTAAGTGCATTTCTCATGTTCTCCCTTTTGATTCGCACAACAAAACCCCCCACCATAATCGCACCCGATTTGCATAAACAAAATTACACAAGTCAATAGTAAAGAGAGTCTAATTATTATCACTTCTAACTACGTACCTAGATCTCGCTCTGAAAAATGGCTACTTACTCATCATCGCCATCATCCCAACTCGAATCGCTATCAATGTTGCCCGAACACCACGTGAATCCATCTTTGGCCACCGCCGGTGATAAAACCAGGCCCAACAATGGTGATTGCCCAGGCCCATATGGTTGTGCGGCCATCATTCTCCTCTTTATCCTCTTACCCGGTATTCCCCTTACTGTCGTAACGCTTCAAGGCTTGCGACCCTATGCCCCGAGAGCCGACGTCGTTTCCGCCTTCGTGTCAGTTCGCAATGGGACCACCAGTGATCGGTTGACTGCCAACTGGGCAATCACTCTTCAGCTCGACTCTAGCCAAGCGTATCCACACCGAGTCGTGGCTTTGGTTTTCCACGATTCAGGCAAAAGTGATGGTGCTGCTGGCGCCCAACGTCTGCTTGCATCGACCCGGCGGTTCTCAGGGATAAAGATTTTGGACCCACAGCGGGATGACGGAGTCGTCACATTTGCGATCCAGTTGAGGGCCGAAGAAGCAGACGTCGGGGAGCATGTGGTGGCCTCCATCTCCAAGGATTTGATGGCCGGGGATCGGTTGCGGTTCAGAGTGTTGGTTCTTGTTTGGGTGCGGCTGGAACTGGAATTCAATGGTGACCGGTATTATCTAGCGCGGATTAGTTGCGATCCGTTCTGGATCGAGTCCTCGAGTATTGCAGGGAGAGAATCTAATCGGAAGGAAAAATGTCGTGTCCAAGTGTAAGTTACAATATCATAACCCCACAAAATAGTAGTGTCATGTATTATTAATCTTAATTTTTTTTAAAAAAATTGATCGTGTCAATTATTGTTGGTTGAGCAGGATTTTACAAAGCAAGTCGAGTTCTTTGGAGGAAAACTGGACACAACACATAGTATGACAAAATAATCTATCTAGCGCAAAGTAAGACTTCAAGTATGTAATCATAACCCTTACATTGTTGTTTTCCCAAGTTGATGAAGTTTTGTCTCTAAAAAACGTTTGTGAAGTTTGCTAAGAATGGAGTTATATATATGGCATATTTGGTTGAGATCTTAGGGTACAACGTCATGCATGTTCGATAAAACAATATATATGTTTTCATTTATCACCGCAATAATATTATATGTATTGATTTTATGGTTTAACGATATTTGTGATGACGTAAAAATTGTTTGGTTGTGCAGGATTCTACAAAGCAAGCCAAGTTCCTTGGATGAAAATTGAACAAACACCAACATGACAGTATAAATCATGGGAAGTGAGGTCAATGATTAGGGTTGGAAGGCTGTTGTTTTCTTACATGTTTTGTGAACTTCCTGGAACTATAACTTTTTATATGTAACTAGCCTTTTGTTTTAATCAACGAATTGCAAAATACGAAGAAGAGTTTTATTAGCAATGACAAAGGATTCAACCACGGAGATCAAAAGAATATCATTAGTTTAACCCTTTTTACTCGCACAAACAAGCCCCCCTATATAACCGCCAACATTTGCTATTTTTATAAAGAAAAAAATGAGAGTCAATCGCCTTCCTTCTTAACTCAAGATTCGGTCATCACTTCTTGGGCAGACAACGGTGAATAACCAATTGATCTCAATAATTCGAGTTGTTGAGAGAAGGTTATGTTGGATTTTATATAGACCCATGTATGGTACTTAACCACTTTCTTACACGCCCCTTCAAACGAAAGCCGACTTATGGGCTTGAAGTTTGCACAGACCCGCCATATATATCATGTGCTTGAAAGACAACGGTTAATATTGGGGGTCATGAGAACTTGAACACGTGACCTCAAGGACAAACCAGCTCTGATACCATGTCATAAGTCAGTGGGTCCCAATAACTCGAGTTTTTTAGGAGAAGGTTATGTTGGATCTTATATAGACCAATATATGGTACCTAATACTTCCTTACAAGTTACAACCAGAGGTGGCAATTGGATCGGATTCGTGGATTGTATTGGTGGATCCATGGATCAAATGGATTGGATCCAATGGATTGGTGGATTCATGGATTGGATCCAATGGATTGGTGGATTGATCCATGAATCCAAATGACATTCAGGGCTTGGACCAAAATGTAAATTTTGAAAAGTTTAGGTACTAAAATGTCTTAATGAAAAATTTTAGGTACCAAAATGTAATTTTCCAATGATATTTTCGTATAAAAATATAAATTTTAGGTACCAAAATGTAAAATATAAAAAATATACGTACTAAATCGTAATTTGTCATTTGGATCTATGGATTGATCCATGAATCCACCAATCCAATTGGATTTGGATAAAATGGATTGTATTTGATGGATAATTTGGTGGATGGATTGGATTGGATTCATGGATTTGAATCCTAATTGCCACCTCTACTTACAACAACAAGTCAACAACCAACCGACGGTTGATCAGAACAATAATGCTAAGCCCAAAAACCGTCCAACCCCCGTGGGTCTCGTTCTTGGGATTCTCATCACCATCCCCGCCGGTCTATTTCTCGGGTTTTCACTATTATGTATTGATGAACTGAAGGCCTACTCCCCCAAAGCGGACGTTGTTTTAGGGTTCGTGTCAGTTACAGTTACGTTTATTTTGATATCGTATACTCAAAATTGATGTAATGAGTTAGAACTTCTATCATGTGAATGTTTGTGGGCGTTTCTCCTCTTTTATATCGAGTTATATCACACAAAATACAACTCGACATTAAAAAATAAATTGCCTCAAAGAAATGTGACTTTCTAAAATGTGAAATTGTTACTTGCTAACAAAATAAAGCCACATTCGGGGATTGCGCACGGACTCCAACTGGCGTGGGATGGGGGGCACATGAAGGTTGTTGTGCAGACTGACTCTACAACATCGATATCACTCATTAAGTCCGTTGCTTCCTCTCATCCTCATCATACACTGATTTCGTATATTCGCCGGATGCTTGAGAGGGAGTGGGAAGTGTCGATTGGCCATATGTTCAGGGAAGCAAATTTTGTGGCCGATTACTTGACTTCGGTAGAACTAGCTGAGTAGCCCGCAGCCGGGGATGGATCCCAGACAAGCTGGGCTGGACCTGCAGAAAAATTGTCAGAGTGAACATAATTCAGTAAGTTCATCAGGCTCACCCTCTCTTGTTCAACGCGCCCCCCTAAGACTATGTGAAACAGTTCTTGGGAGTTGGGAGATATCTAGTTTGGGGGAAGACACTGCAATTTGGTTGAGACGTTCGGTCATAAGTTATTGTTTAACGTATTTTAATTTTGTATGATCTCAATATCACGCCATTTTTTTTCCTTTATTAATTTTTGTGGTAAAACAAGTGAACATCAAGCAAGCCAAGCCAAAATAATTCATCCATATATCATGTCCAACGGTTAAAAATCGTTTGTTTCATCGATAATCGTCCAAACAAACAGACCAACTCACTATTATAACTGGCATGATGATTATATCGATCCGATAGCTAATCATGTATGGTCTTACAACATCGGTGTTTTACCGTGATATTTTTTAAGAAGATGGAAGGAAAAAAATATCTCGGCTTAAATTATTAAATACTCCCAATAGTGTACTCACATATTATTAAAATAACTTTTTTTTTAATAAATGGTTGGTACTTGACTACTTAATTATATATTAAAAAAAGCTGATATTTACTATGCCAACATCTAGGGATGGCAAAAATATCCGTAACCGTGGATATCCGCCCGAATTCGGTCTAATCGGGTAGAGTAAAACACGAACCCGAAAGGCATTTAGTGGGTACGGGTAAAACGCGAACCCGAATATTGCGGGTAATGGGTGGACATGGGTTTCTCACTATCCAACCTGAACCCGCCCGATTATGCATGTATTTTGTCTAGAAATAATCATTATAAGTATAATATTTTCATGAAATTGTGTTATTTTAATTATTTTTCTTCATTCTAGTGAATTATTGGCATACTTTTCCTTTTACGTAATGTGAGAATATGTGTAAATTTTAACATACTGATTGGAGTTATGAAGATAAATTACTATCCACGGATAACCGTGGATACCCGAAACCCGAACGGGTATGATCATGATTTTGATTTTCTACCCGTTTCACATGTGGCTACAGGTATGGGTAAAACTCAAACTACTTTGGGTAAGATAATAGATATGCACTATCCATCCCCGACCTGACCAATTGCCATCCTTACCATCTCTTGCCACTAGGGTAATCAAAATCGTTTTTCTTCTCTCTCTCCCAAGTATTCTCCCTCCCAAATATTATATATATGATTATTTTCATTGGGCTACTTCTCTCTTTATGTTTTAAGTGAAAATAATATTATTCTAATAAGTCAAAAAATATACATTGGGAGTATCTAATAATTCGTCGCGGAGCTTTACTCGGAAAATTTTACATCAGTTACCGGAGATAGAGCTAGGCAATAAAAAATAATAATAAAAAAATAACAAAGACGAAATACCATTTCTACCTTTTTATATAACAGATCGCTTGCCCCATGCTTGCTAAATCACTCACTAAAAATTTCCTTATTAAGGATTAATCACAAGCAATCCGTTCCATCTCTTCGAGCTTTTGCAATAGTCTAAAATGGGTACTCAGCCCGAATCTCCATTGTTGCCCCAACACCATGAGAAGAAATCCAAGTACGCCGACGCCGCCACCATCGTCGTTCCCACGGCCACCGATCCTCCTACGCCGCCAGCCGCCTCCGATGCGCTTAACAATAAGAAACCACAATCCGAACTTGCTGAGTGCTTAACTGGCTGCTGCGTAGTCGCCATTTTTTTCGCCTTGGTCGGCGGTGTTATAACAACCGCTTTCATGACATACGGCCACTTGGCACCCTACTCCCCCTCGGCCGACGTCGTTTCAGCCTTTGTGTCAGTCAACAACGACACTAATGGGCCCAAGACGGGCCGGTTAACTGCCAATTGGGCCTTCACTCTCAATCTCAACAACGCGCTCTTTTGCGATTACTGTCAGGGCGTGTATCCGTACCAAGTCGAGGCTTCCGTTTATTATCATGGCGGCGAGGACGGTGGCGGGCATATGCTCGCATCGACTCATCAGTTCTCCGGGTTAACCGTCGACCCGAGCCTGGAGACCTTTTTAATTCAATTGGGAGCGGAAGAAGCTGACGTCGGGGAGAGCGTGGTCGCGGCGATTTTCAAGGATGTAGCCGAATTGGAGCAGAATCGGTTGCGGTTCAGAGCTGTGGTTCTGGTGTGGGTGCGGGTCAAACCGAACAACTTACGTAGCCGGTATTATTTGGTGCGGATTAGTTGCGATCCGTTTTGGACCGGATCTGCCGGTATTGTGGGCAAGTCTCACGAAGATCGCAAAAAATGTCAAGTTCACGTGTAAGTACATAAAAAAAATCAACCGCATGCAGACTTTGTATTAATCCTGAATATATATGTATTCAGGATCCTGATATTATATTGATATTATGGTTTAACTGGTTGTGTGGGGTGGTTTATTTGGTTGACCAGGACTCGACAAAGCAAACCAAGCACCCTGGATGAAGATCGGACAAGACTGAGCACCGCAAAATAAACTAAAGTGAAGCTTTCAGTCGTGCAAGTGCAAGTGTTAGTTTTGATTCACGATCTTTTGTAAGGATAGAGCTTTATGGAGATTAATTTTGATTTTCGGATTTGATGTTATTGTATGGTTTTTAGATGGATTAGTAACTATTATGAGATTGAAAGGATTGTATTTGACAGATATCTATTATTTATGTTGATTTCGAGCTGTGGCGGATCCAGGAATTACATCACGGGTATTCAACGATGAAATAAATCACCAAAAATTGTCAAATAGTCTTGAGTTCAATTGCTAGCATCGCAAAAATAAAATTTTACAAAGGAATTTTGTCAAAAAAATGGAAACAAGGTTTGTCAATTGGCCAACCTTGGTTAACCTAGGTTAGCCATTGATCTCGAGAATGTTGTTTTTTTAATTTTCATTTATGAGATGAACCTTTCGTGAGTAGGACCTCGTGCAGTGTTAGAAAACATGTCAATTATGTATTTTTGGATGATTTTTGGTTCAGTCCCAAAGGTTTTGACAATCCATTACAGTCATTATAAACCAAAAACTGAACCCTAGTGATAAAAAAAAAAATATTGAAACCTATTCTTACATGAATATTTACACCCTCACTCACAAAATACATGATGTTTTGAAAGGTTTTGCTATGTCAAGTTTACTTTGTGTCTTTGTCAAACCAAATAAACAACCTCTTTGAAAGTCCTCTAGCCGTGATAAAACCAAAAGAGCTAGATTCTACTCATTCATCAAAATGTATATTGGTGCGCAACTGCGCCTAAAACACTTAAAAATTGAATACTGCATAACAAATTAACTAGCTTAGACCCTGCTTTTTGGAAATGTTTTTCTTTTATTCAAATCTTGATAACCTATATTTTGTGACAAAACAACAAACTTATTAATTACATATGCTCACATAAACATTTATTTTTGTTTTGCAATTAATGAATCATATTTAAAGATATCACTTTATTCTTAATAAGAAACAACTTAATTTATATGATTCTAGTTTTTGTGCTAACTTAGATCATTACTTTCGTTTATTTAATTGATTGTATGTACACTTTAATGTCGACGGTAATCATAACAACGATGCTCTTTTTAGAATTTATTGTATGGTGCAATCATAATTGTGTTACTCTTCATAATTCATGGTGATTTGAACTTCTCATCAATTTATAGACTTTAAGGATTTCTAATAATTGGTAGAAGTAGTCTATTTATGAGCACTACTACTATGCTATATAGTATTGGTGCTTTAATGTACAATTTGAAATTGTACCATAACATTAAATGTATAAGTTTAGGTTGTACCATAAAGGAATTTGTATCATTATGTTATGGTAAAACTTTACAACTTGAAGTTGTACTATCACATAAATGTACAAGTTCAAGTTGTACCATAAAAGAATTTGTACAAAAAAGTATAGGTACAATCTAAAGTTGTACCATAACGTTAAAGGTACAATTTCACGTTGTACCATAAAAACAAAAACCTATAACACCAATACTATATATAGCATTGTAAAATTCCTCCTCTATTTATTGCCATTCATATTCTTCTTGGCTTCAAAATTGTGTTTGTCTCTGCCATTCATATTCTTCTTGGCTTCAAAATTGTGCTTGTCGGAGACAAATTATTAATACACCTCAAAACTTCAATTTACCACTACAATATACCATAATTGTGAGTCCATGCAAAATGTCTATCGCGTTGAAATATAATATTTTGTATAATATTTTTATAAGTTTTGAATCTTATGAATATGGTTGACATAAATTAAATTAAATTTCTAAATTTTAACCGAGCTTGCAACCTGTTTTGACGTGGATAGGTTGTTTCATCTCATTTAGAAGTCCTTTAACAGTTTTTAGGAGAAGATTAATAAATTTTACCGAGGAAATAGCTAGCCGTTATATACAAATCCCTTTTTACTCGGTCAAGAACTAGATTAGCACACAATGGTTGTCGCCGCGCCGCGCCGCACCCCTCCGCCCGCCATTTGCTTGCTATCATAATTCCCATCTCTATATATATTAAGGATTCATAATTACCTTACACACGAAAATATCAGATTTCGCCTCTTCTAGCTGCTAGGGCACGCTTCCAAAAATGGTTACCTTCTCATCATCATCATCCGACCCGCTATCTCCATTGTTGCCGCAAGCGAATTCGCCGTCCGCTGCCGACGTTGATGCCATCACCACCACCGATCCGCCACCGCCACCCTTGCCGGCGGTGAAGCTAGCTGGACCCAAACTCATAGAGTTTGCGATAGTTGCTCTCGTGTTTTTACTTTTTTTTGGCGGTATGTGGACTGTTATGTCAATTAACGCATCCAAACCCTACTCCCCCAGCGCCGACGTCGTTTCGGCATTCGTGTCGATTAAGAACAACATCAGTAATATTGGGCCCGCTGGTATGGGCCGTTTACTAACAGCCAACTGGGCCGTCACTCTTGATCTCGACCACTCCATCTTCTGCTGTCGAGAGGCCCATCTGTACCAAGTCGAGGCTTCCGTTTTTCACTCCGCCGAAAACCGGCAATATTTGCTCGCTTCGACTCGGCGGTTCTACGGCTCGACCGCCGATCCGAAGATGGAGGGCAGCGCCGCACTCTCGATTTATCTGAGAGCGGAACAAGCGGACGTCGGAGAGCATGTGGTGGCTGCCATTTCTAGGGAAGTGGCGGCGGGTGGGGGAAATCGGTTGCGGTTCCAAATTCTGGCTCTCGTTTGGGTATGGGTTGAAAATGATATCTCGCAGAACCGATATTACTTGGCCCGGATTAGTTGTGACCCATTCTGGGTCGGATCTCCCAGCATCACTGCCAGGAATTACTGGGATACCAAGAAATGTCAAGTTCAAGTGTAAGTAAATTATTTTAAACCCCGGAAATTAGGAATAGCGTGTGTGTGTGTATATAGATGTATCATGTTCTGAAATTAATTTGTTATCATGTGGATTATTTGGTTGAACAGGACCTCACAAAGAAAGCCAGCATTTTTAGATACAAGTTCGACAAGACTCAATCTGACGAACACAAATTAGGGCAAATTAAAGCTCCAGACCATTGTTTTTGCTACCTCGTTATTGTGAACTTGTGCAACAAATGGAGCCATTGGTAAAGTTAATGTAATGAGGCAGACCAATACTATTTGATCTCGAGTTATGCAGTAAACATTTTATTTTAAATTATTTTTGTTAACAAAATGAACTTTGTTTAACAAACACCCCATATCGAAAATTGACCAATTGTTACTTACATCATTCTTTGATTTAATTGCGGACCTAGATTAATTGGTTGCACAACTAAATCCACCATGTCAAGAAAGGGGGGGGGGGGCATTGGAAAAAAATCCAAAATAAATTAACACTTAGTAAATTTTTAAATTGTGCAATATATTGTTATATTTCTCACATATTGTTATGAGATTTTTTTGACAAACAGAGATACACAAAATATTGAAGTAATGGTGTGTAAAGTTGAGTAAAACTATATATGCATGTGATGTGATGGTTATGTGCTTCCCTCTCTTTGAGCCTTAAGTTATGTACCAAATGTAACACCTTGCTTTCGTTAACAAATTCTGTAATGCACCTTTTTATTTTCATCCTCAATCATCAACACACTCTCAGAAGATCAACATTTTAACTAGGATGAAGCATGTGTCTCTGTTAACATATGTAACACTTCTCTCAATTTTCATTCTTAATTAACACACCATTTTCCAAAGTTTTAATTTGAAGTCTTCCTGCAAAAAGTACAAAAATGAATTTAACGAAATTGGGCGGCCAGTGATCAGCGGTAAAACAAAGGGTTAATTAAAGTCAGTGACTAGTAAGCAAGAAAAAAATCCGAATGACAAATATGACATGAATTAAATAAACTAAGTGACTAAGATGAGCTCTCTGCCAATGCTTGTTGAAAATCAATCAATTGCCCCATTTTATCCGGGAAAGAATAGATGATGATGTGAAATGGACGTTTCGCCAAAGGAAATGTAACCTTTTAACTTCATCGCCCACACTAAATCATTACTAAGATGATATAACAAGGTTTTTTAATAGACAACCTTCTTAATAACAAACACCAACTAATTAAATCTTATATTTAGCTAATCAAGTAAAGACATCCGAACTATACAAGATCGTTTCTCCACTTTTCACTCCCCCACAAAAAGCCGTGTATATATGATCGCCTTTGACGATTTCCAAATATAGTACAATTTGTTATCGCACTTGATCAAGAATTCAGAACCCTAGCTAATACAGAATGCCCATATGAAAATGTGTTACTGCTCATCCTCATCATCATCGTCATCCCAATCTCGATCTCCATTGTTGCCCCAACAATGACAAGTCGACATCCGCAGTCGTCGATCCCACAACCACCAACGATTCGCCGCCACCACCGCCTTCTACGGTTCCCGACGACAGCCAACCGGCGGCGGTTGATCCGAACAACAAAATTGAATCCGAAGTTCATCACTGATCACACTGAATATCGACACGCAGCGCATGACGGAAGCGACGTGACGTTTCCGATTCAATTAAGAGCGGAAGGAGTTGACGTCGGGAAGCATGTGGTGGCTGCCATTTCCCGGGATTATGGGACGGAACCCACGTTGAGGTTCAAATCAGTTCTTCATGTTTGGGCACGACTCCAACCGAATCTATTCCCTGCCGGTACTATTTAGCTCGGATTAGTTGCAATCCGTTCTGGATCGGATCTTCTAATATTGGGATGAGCACAATCTCCTCGGATCACAAAAAATGTCACGTCCACGTGTAAGTAAAACATTTAATTCCACATTCCTTTCTTTTTGAACTAGCTAGATTAGACCATAAAGTAAAAAACTACATAATTGGGATGAGCATTGGGTGGATTGACAGGGGTTTATGCTCTAATTCACTCCTCTACAATTAAATTAAGTGTGTGAGTTTAAACGTGACCGCACACACCTAAATATATCATATATTAGGTGGAGTAATGCGATTTTACGAGTGGGTTAAGACAATTTGCATAAATTTGAATATTATTTTTGAATTGTAAACCAACACAAATAAGTATACATATGATGAGATTATTTTGGACAAAATCACCAAAGAATTATTTGAATGAGAGTTTTCAATGAGATATTTCGTTCAAATCTCTCATTCATCGGATTTTTACCAAATAACATATTTGGGAAAATGAGAAATTTCTAGGGGTGATCAACGGGAAACGGGTATTGGAGTATACCCATATCCTTCCCGTTTTTTGAGGTTACGGGTACCCAAATACCCATAAATTTTTTTACAAGATAAGATTGGGATCAAAATTTTTTACAATGAGTACCCACGGATTACCCGTTAATAGACACCCATACTACCCACCCATTAGTGTGTCCTTCCATTCATGTCTGCTTCATCCCGCTTTGTTCTCACAGCTTCTCTGCTTGGCACTATGGTTTGAAGCCAAAATGCAATTAAAAGGTAATATAGGCATTTGTACATGAAATTATGACTGAAACATGAAAGATGATATGTGAAAGCCACTTTTCTACAATGCATAATACTTCATACTATTACGTATTGGAGATCATATTATTATAGGAATATATTTTTGAGATTACATGTGCATTTCCAGTTACATCCAAGTATACCGGAAGTATCAATTAATACGAAATATTGTTTTTTTTTTTTTTTTGCCAATAGATCACTCTTCAAAAAAGGAAAACGTTTAGATACAAAGACATTGGAAGGATCAGTCATCCTTCGAATGAAGCCAAGAACAGAAATATTGGTTTTTTTTTTAACAATACGAAATATTGTTTACTTTCATGTTATTATAAATATTACTCACTTTCTATGCGCCCGACATAAGGACCGGGCTTTAGTGTGTATGAGTTACCCGCAGGTAACTGTTATTCGTTTCGTATGGGTAATGGGTACCCGTTAACCCGTACGGGTTTGGGATATGAGATAGAGTTTTCTCTTCAAATGGGATTGGATATCCGTTTCAAATGGAACGGGTACCCAGCCTTGTCCCGTTGCTCACCCCTAGAAATTTCAAGACTAGAGATTTAAAAAACCTCCAAATATTTGTTTTTGAAAGATTTGCCCTCAATTATTTCGAAATCCCTCTTTGACTTCTTTCTTCTTTCAATTTTGTTCCTTTACTTTTAATAAAATCCAAGCTTACCCTCACCAACACAAATCAAATCCTTTTTCATCTCATTCTTTCTCTCCTCCCGGCCCCTTCGCCGCTTCTTCGTCTCCTTCTTCCTTTGCTCCGCCATCGTGACAATATTCCGTTTTGTACAATCTCCTAATTCATCAGGATCTGGAGATTTTTACGTTGATTTTCACGAGGATGAATTTAAAGCATGCGCACCTGCTGCCTACTGCACTTATCCTCATCTTAGTGGGTTGGTTTTTATTGAGTGAATTTGGGGATGACTTGTCCAATGACAAATCCACTGTATATGTTGATTTTCCCCCTGCATAATACTGTGTTAATGTATTTTTATCTTATCATTTAATACGGTGTCGTCATGTTATTTGGTTGAACAGGATTCGACAAAACAAGCCGAGTTTCTCAGATGAAAAACGAGTCAAAATTGAAGACTGAGAAAATAAATTAGCAGTCACTATCATTTTTCCACATCTCTTAGGGAACTTTTATCATATTTAACGGATTTCTTCCTGAAATGAAGATAAATATTGTGTAAGACTGTTAGTCCAATCCCAAAATTGAGCTTAAAACTATATTTCTTTTTATTTTCTGCATAATACTATGTATTAATGAGATTGGATTTAGCTGGACTGAATTTTTGGGCTTTTATTTGTTTTTGTTCGTTGCTGCCTACAGAACTGTTGGGCCGTTAATCTGAACCCCACATTGCCGATAAGAAAACACCCATTGAAAGTTGAAACGACCATACGAAAACCTACACCAAAAAAAAAAAAAAAACCACCTTCCTCTCATGGCTTCTTCTTCTGCTCTCTCCTTCCTTCCATTAACTCAATCCCCCAAGCTCTCTGCTCGGAACCCACTTCCAAACTCCCATTCATGGCGCCCGCGTCCCCCTCGCCCTAACGCACCATCCTCCTCCTATATATCCGCCTCTATCGGAGATGGGCCCAATGCCACGGAGCCCATAACCGTTGAAACTCTCCACCGGTTCTTTGAACTCAGCGTTGGCAAATGGCACGGCTCCTTCTACGTGAGAACACTGGACGAGCTTTCAATTCCTTCTTCTTTGTTGCTTGCTCTGACTAGAGGGTTTATTTTTTGGCTGTTCGTTTCTTTGGGGTTTCCTTCCTCCAGCAATTCAATGCGCATGGGAAGTTGATGCAAAGGGTGAGTACGCGGCTCTCTGCAAGTACCTATGGAGAAGATGATCTGATGAGCCTCATTCAAACGTATGTATGGACGGCAACTCGAACTTGCTTTTTCCTTACCTTTACTCGAGTGGCTCTTCTCTGCTCGTCAATGTGATTGAGGCAACAATTTGGGTTAGAATTGTGCTTCTACTTTCCGCTCTTTGTGTTTAACTGTCCCGTTGCATTCTATCAAATTGATCCTTCAAATTTGGTTGGTTGCCTGAAAAGTAGTCCTCGGGAGAAATCTAGTTTGGGTAAAGACACTGGGATTTGGTTGTGACATTCGGTCATAACTCATAAGTTGCTGTGTACATCTTTTTGATGTTATGTCAAGAGTTTCAATTATGAATCTTGCCTCCAATTGATGGAGGCTATAAGGATAATCTTAAGTGTTCAAGCGATTGTTTGCAACGTGAACTAAATAACTAAGCAGATCGTAGTTTCACCTGTTTGCTCCTTGTTTGCTTCTCGCTGTTCATTCTCTGAGTTCTTTCTACTGTGAATATAATCTCATTACTTCTGTGCTCATAATTTAAATCAGGCTTTACATAAAACAACCTCCATTGTCAGTCTCAGACCCTGATGAAGATCCGGAATGGGCAGAATACAAGATCAAAGAGACCAATATGTTTACTGTCGACAGATATCAGCAGGTGAGTTCATTTTCGTTCTTCACGGCAAAATGCTACTGAATTAATGATCTTTTAACCATGTGCTTGAAACATCTTATATTGTACTCTATACTATTGGTGTTTCCTACTGAATGTCCATAATGATTAGTCTGCAGATTGGCTTTTTCCCCGACACAAGGGCTTTCGCCTTAAGGTACCAGACCGCTGGCATGCTGGAGACTGTTTTGAGGCAAGGTGTGTTGGGTGAAAATGACACAGGAGAAGAGTCTCCCAGGTGAAAGGATCTTGCTTTCACTTATCTCTTGGTTTACTTGCCATGACAAACAAAATAAAGTACATTGCTTTATCTAAGAGAAAACTGTTTTTCTATCTGTAGGAATCTTAAGCTTCCTTCACGAAGGCCTTCTATAGTATGCGAGAATTGTTTATATTCGCAAGACATAGATAGTAGGCGGGCAAGAGCCTTTCACGTTATGAACCCTGGAGGTGACCTAGATATGCTTCTTGTGTTCCTGGAAGATAGAGGGGATGGGAATCATCCTCCTCCTTCACTTGGCAATCTTGGAGTAAGTTAAAATCAACTGAGAAATGTTCTTTATGGATCCAAGGAGATATAGCATTGGTTTACTTTTTATGACAGTAGGATTTCGTTGCATTGATTCCAGCAGACTGCTGGAAGGGTTGAGCCGTTTCTTGGCAGGTGGGAAGGTCATTCAATGACAAAGCGAAGTGGTGTTTATGGATCAACACTTACTGAAGCTGATTCTGTTTCTTTACTTGAGATGAACGATAAGGGTCAGCTCATCCAGGTACGACCATCACTTTAATGCACACATCCACTTTCCAGGATCCCTTCTCATCCAGGGGTTTTGCATCATGCCATGAGAATTTAGATTTTCTGATCGTTATGGAAATTTTAGACTGCTTCATTTGCTTTGCTCACCAGCTGTTGTGAGCAGAGGCTGGTAGTTCAAGCTTTTAAGTATCTTACATACCTCTCTGAAAACTGTCATTAGGATATGACATCGAATGCTAGAGCAAACAACGTTGCGACCAAAGTGCATTGGAGTGGTACCCTGGTGGATAATCTGATCATTTATGACGGAGGATACCAGATAACTCTGTTGCCGGGAGGGATGTACATGGGATGCCCTTGCGATATAGCAAAGAGCGTTGCGGAATCCAAGTCGTTTCATCTGGAGTTTTGTTGGCTTGAATCTCCTGGGAAGAGACAGAGACTGGTTAGAACTTATGACGTTGAAGGTTTGGCAGTATCATCCACATACTTCTCCGAGACTAAAGTTTAAGTCTTTGATTCTGATTGTGTCGTGTTGGCAAGTAAAAGCTTGAGTACAGACGCCATGTAATAGTATATTGCAACACCGGAATTGACAAAATTATGGTGGAATTTTGTTATTTGGGAGAGAATTAGCTGGAGTGCTTGAAAATTAGTATTCTCGGCATAGTGAGGGAGCTGGAGAGCTTGAAATTAGATGAGTCAAATTTATGCATATCATTTCCATGTTTCTATGCTCTCTTGTACGAATTTGGGTACGCTGTATATGTGGTTTTTGTGTAAGCACGTAGTTTGTGATGACATGATCTATAACTGTTATATGTACGCGGTAGTAATTTGAACACTCATGTAAACATGGTAACTGAAGTGTCTCTTGTGGATGATCTTCATTGACATTGATTCATTAACAAAAAAAAAAAAAAAAAAAGAGGCGAAACAGCTCACTGATCACTAGTTGTGAGATCTGTAAGAAGTTGTTTGTATTCTTATTTTAGTTCCTCTGTTTTGGCCGTTTGTGCTATTTTCTTGGTGGTAAGTAACTAGCATTTTTTTTCTCAGTATAGAGGATTCGTTTACTTGTGATGATAAATTTGGTTTTCAGAGCTTGTGAAACATCTCAAATCTTAAATTAATTATTCTTTCCCACAATGGAATAACAATGAATATTCATAAAAAAAAAACAATGAAATAAACCCAATCACCATGAGTGGATTGGATGTTGTAAATTAACTTACGAATTTTATTCAAACCCCATTAGTGGATTTTAGCCTAACACATTATTTGATAATCACTTTTTAGTTAGAATTTCAGACAAAATGAATTCTCAGACGTTCGAATAGTTGAATTTTCAATTTATATTGTGATGATTTTGAAATTTGTCATTATCAAACACTCTCTAACATTTTTAACTATAGTTATTTTATATTTTCGATTATTTAAACGATGACAACTACACATATTGAGAGACTATTTTCTTTTCGGCTCAAAATGGCGTGAGATCGACCATTCATTTAACCTATTTCAACATTTCTCTACTACTGATCAATCTAACAGACAAAATCATCATTGAGAACAATAAGTTTCTACACTTGCAATTTACAAACCCTATATTTTCTTAAACAATTCATCCATTTCAAGTTCAACAGTTGGTCGATAGCCAAACGAATCCCAACTCCGAAGGAGTATTTTGTGCACGTGACAGTTGGAGCATATGGAAGAAAATGACATTTTTGTAGTTGACGTGGCCCATGGGAAACTACTGGATTAGGTTGGGTGGAATATTTTATTTTATTTATTGTCTTATGACAAGTTGAGGGTTTTGTTCTTGATGGCTAATTGGCTACCGACAAATACACCCCACCATATCATCAATTTCTTTCATCATAAATATGGGTGACAAATAAACAATTTATCAAAAGATATTTACGATTTTTTTGCATTTTTCTCTAAAAAAAGCGATTAAATAAAGTCTAATCTTTATATATCGACTATTTGGGAATTTCAAATTTGTTATAATCAAAATATAGCTATATTCCAAGGAGTAACAAAGCTAAGATAAAAGTATTTTTAGATAATGATTAAACCTAGAAAAACTATACAGTCAATCAAGAAATTACTTCTCTATATACATGAGCCAATCTGACCTGTAAAAGATGAACCGTACAACTCCTAGTCTCAACCACAAGCACATACTGTGAATGACTAGGTGTAGCAATTTCAATAAGGTATTTGGCTCTTTATGTGTATGTTTACATAACAAATTAACAATGTGCTTAACCCTTACTTCCCAGACGATCTTGATATCATGAACAACTTCAACCAACTCTTCGTAAGTAATGGAACTCCTAATTTCAATGAAAAAAAGTTCGAAAGAAACAAAATATTATTCTTTTTTATAATTGCGTGCAAGACATAAAGCAAATGATGACTTATTGATATTTAAATCCAACCTTATAAATGGTGATTTTTGAAATAAACATTTTCCCCCTAATAAACGTCAATTTCCATGCCTCAATTATTTTAGTAATCAATTAGAGAAGACAAAACAAAGCAATAAACCGCTTAAAAGACAAAAAAGTTGAATTGTAAAAATAAGTAACAAAAAAAGGAAAAAATAATAATTCAAAAATCAATTCCCGTCTTCCTCTTCTTCTTCAACAGCGAGATATTAATTAATTATATATTAAAAAAAAACTAAACTTTGCGAGTTGCAGATTGAATAGTCAACACCCAGCAAGGAAAAAGCTTCCCTTTTCCCTCCTCTGAATCTCCATTTCTGAGAGAAAAGCAAACGACGATTACGCTGTCGGAACAACTCCAACTCTAAGAAAACGACTTGAGATCGGAGCAGAGAGTTAATCAGTTGGTGGGTTATATAGCTCTATTCTGGCGGAGTTTGATGGCAGAGAAACGAGACTCTTCCGCATCAACGACGGCTTTGCCTCGGCCTACAACCATCACCCTTCCTCCTAGGCCGTCGATGGATACTTTCTTCTCCGGCGGGCTCAGCCCGGGGCCCATGACTTTGGTCTCAAGTTTCTTCAACGACAGTTACCAGGGTGGTGGAGAAGATTGCCGGTCCTTCTCCCAGCTTCTCGCGGGAGCTATGGCTTCTCCGCTTGCTAGGCCTCCCTTTTACCCTGACTTTTCTCCCCAAAACCCTCCTTCCACAGCCGCCGGCGGTGGCTTGTCTTCTACACAAGATGCTGCTGCTGCGGCTGGAAGTGGTGGGTTTGGGTTCAAGCAGAGCAGGCCTATGAATTTAATGGTTCCTCGGTCTCCTCTATTTACGGTTCCACCTGGGTTGAGCCCTTCTGGGTTGCTTAATTCGCCTGGGTTCTTCCCTCAGGTAATTTTTCTGCTATTCTTCGCTGGCTGGTTTTGTAGGTTGGTAGTTAATTGGGATGATTAGTTAGCTGTTCCTCTTGTTAGGTTTAGATTGTTGAGATAACGCTTGAAATAGGGCGAGTTTATCTAAAGCTTGTATCTTTCAGTTTCACAAATGAAGAATTTGGCCACCAGTTTAGACTGCTAATGGAAACTGGAGTTGTGTCCCTCATTTGTTTGGAGCAATTGTGCTCGATTGTAGGTAGATATACTTCGTTCCTCCAAAACTTAGGAAATGTATGGTCTTTCTGTTTAACCATTAAGTAACGATGTTTCCTTCTGTCATTTTCTCCTATGTTTTCTTCGATCTTGTTGTGATTTCATGTTTCAAGTTGAGGAGTTAGAAGTTGCTCATTGCCTTAGCATGTTCTGATGCATATATAGCTATATCATGTGTTTGCACAATATGGCTTAAGATGAAATATCTTCTATCCATCATGTATTACTGGGAATAGATGGATGAGATATTTCATTATGTTGATTTCTTGTGGCTAATGTTTGTACTTGGAATATGCAGACTTGCAGACATGTGAGAACAGAAACAATGTTTGTTACATGTGAAATTAGGACTTGATTGTATCATTTAATATCTTGAACTTTCTCAGAACGTGATATGCAGAACATTCGTGGACACGAAAACTCGTTTCGAGATGTTTATATATGTTCCTCTATGTGTATGCAGAGTCCCTTTGGGATGTCACACCAACAAGCTTTGGCACAGGTGACAGCACAAGCTGCACTCGCTGCTCAATCTCAGCATATGCACATTCAAGCCCAATATCAACCTTATTCAGGGACTGCTCCATTGGAAGTAGCGCCAATGCAACCATCTTATACTGCTGCTGCTAAGCATTCACAGTGGCAGATGCCACCCACAACTTCTAACCCTCAACCTACTGTGGTGGAGCCATCTTCTGAGGTTTCTCATTCGGATAGGAAATCGCAGACAACGCCTCCTCCTCCTCCTCCTGCTGCTGCTGCTGCTGCTGCTGCTGATAAACCTGGTGATGATGGCTATAATTGGAGAAAATATGGGCACAAGCCAATTAAGGGCAGTGAATTTCCGAGGAGCTACTACAAATGCACACACCCAAGCTGCCCTGTCAAGAAGAAAGTAGAGCGTTCCAGAGAAGGCCAGATAACTGAAATCATCTATAAAGGCCAACATAACCATGAGCTTCCTCAAACGAATAAGCGTGCCAGGGGCGACAACAGTGTTCAAAATGTGGCCGTCAGTTCGCAGGCTAAAAGTGAACCTGTTACACAAGCTCAGCTTGGTGATATTAATAAACTTGATCAAAGAGCACCGCCTTATTCAGGTGATGGTAGGGATAAGGAATCCAGTCAAATGAACTTTGCAGACCAACCTGAACCTAGTGGCCGTGGGGAACTTGCTGGCGATCCAATTGCAGCTGAACAAGATTGTGCTGATGATGCACCTAATCCAAAGAGAAGGTAACTTTTTAGGCTAAGAGGTCATTTGGATGTTGGAATCTTAAAATGAGGGATGAATGGTGAAATATTGGAATTTAAACGGATGGAATTCAATTCATGATAGATTTTGAAAATGCTGTTCGGATGGACTACTTGAGCAAAGAAATTGTAAATTATGGGTAAAAAAATACTAAATTGATGGTACTGACCAATCTTACCTTCCATTGAGAGATTCGGGAGGAGAGATTCTCCAATTCTCCAATCTTACCTTTTTAGTCAATTCCATCAAGTTGATGGAATTCAAAGCTAATTTTATCACTCAATTCCCTCATCCAACTGACGGCTTAAAGATTTCTGCATAGCTTACTCCTTATGTCATATGGCTACTTTTTTGTGCATTAAGAAGTTTCTCATGGTGTAACTACTCAGGCAAATGGACGTGGGAACATCCGAGGTAGCTTTATCTCACAAAACAGTGACAGAGGCAAAAATCATTGTTCAGACAAGAAGTGAAGTTGATCTTTTAGATGATGGCTTCAGGTGGCGCAAGTATGGCCAGAAAGTTGTGAAAGGGAACCCTCATCCTAGGTATTTTATTGCTCTTTATCCATATTTTTCTTGTCATCATGCCTTCATATATATGGGACATGTAGCAATCCTGTGTGTTCCTACTAGTGACTTTTGCGAATTCAGTCTTATGTTGCTATGGGAATGCTTAAAGCTGGTTAAGGTTTTCATTATTTTCAGTTCCGAGTTCCTTGTTTGTTAAGCTACTGAAGAAAATTCGCAGTCAGATGATAATGTCACTATCCTGCAGTTAATTGCTTGATTAACATGACAGGACATTTTCCCCGAAGGTTTTGAAATCTACTGGTTAGAACCAGTAGATTTCAGTTGAGAATTATCATCCAGTCCTTACATGACCATTGACCAGTGATCCTCTTAAGCATATATGACAAAATGGTCTCTGTAATCCGAGAACCTCAGATGCTGATGCAAGAGATAAATTGTTTGTGAAACAGGAGCTACTACAAATGCACGAGCGCAGGATGCAATGTTCGTAAGCACGTGGAGAGAGCTGCAGCCGACCCCAAGGCCGTTATAACTACGTACGAGGGGAAGCACAATCACGACGTCCCTGCAGGAAGAAACAGTGGCGCTAATACAGCTGCACAATCGAGGCTTCAAAGCACGGCAGTTTCTCAACCGCAGCAGCAGCCTGCACCCGTTGAAGGTATGAACTTTGGAAACAACAATAACGAGGAGCAAAGACCAGTGCTTCTTAGGCTCAAAGAAGAGGAAGTTGCCGTATAAGGTGAGACGAGACTTGTGCCCAATACACAGTGCAGAAAGAACACGCATGTGAAAAACTTGATGGATGATTTCAAAGCTTAGTCGAACATTTTGTGCTCTTTCCTTTGTTTATACGATTTTTTGGGTTCCACTCCCCTCTCTAGGTAGAGGGTGTGCTTATTATATTACTTTTAATTTTATGTATTGTCCCCCCCTGCAAATATGTATGGTGTATGATCTCTGTATAGAACATGACAATACGCTTGGCAAAACAGAACAGGAAAGACAACTGGTTCATTGAATTTGCAGCTACTGGATTGATTGAAATGGTGATTTATTTATTTTTGTTGTTGCTTTCTTACATAACATTGTATCATTGAGTTGGTTCCAGATGGATCGAGCACCGGTATTTATGTGGTTCAATATTACAATGTGTGCTAGTTACGTCTAGAGTAAACCTTAGTCCTTAACGAAATGAGGCGAAAGCAGTGGAAACTAGAAAGCAAAAAGTGCAGAAGCCTATACCCCATTTTGGACTGGAGGTATTGGCCCTAAACCTGAGATGCAATGCTATCAGCCGAAGGGATGATACCGCTGTTGTTGCCGAAGGAATCATTTGGAGATTGTCAAAACGTGCATGGAGAACATCGCCGAAATGGGAGACTAACTAAGACGACCGTTTTTCAGATCCTCTACCAAGGTAGTTGTCGTTTAGGGAAGCCTTCAGGCGGATTTCATTAATTGGAAAATGGATTGTTACATTGTTCATTACAATATCACCTATATATATCAACTACAAATTACCTATACAGTACTCACAGTTTACATATTTACAATAACAGCTATAAACTAATTAATAACTACATCTAGGTCCTCGTCGTTTCCTCCTTGGACAACTCCCCCCCGCAAGCTGGTGCGTAGATATCAAGACGACCCAGCTTGACCTGCAACTGCTGAAAAATATGGACTGGAAGCGACTTTGTAAACATGTCAGCAAGCTGGTTAGCAGAGGAGACATGTAATACTTTAATCACACCATCGAGAATCCTATCCCTAATAACATGACAGTCAATTTCTATATGTTTTGTACGTTCATGATTGACTGGATTATCAGCAAGTTTGATAGCAGACATGCTATCACAGTATATGGGAGTAGGAGAAGAGAAACAGATATGCAAATCATTCAAAACATATCTGAGCCATAAGATTTCACAAGTCAAACTAGCCATTGCTCTATATTCAGCTTCGGCTGAAGAACGTGAAACAGTCTTCTGTTTCTTAGAGCGCCAACTAATTAATGAATTCCCTAACAATACACAAAAACCTGTAGTAGACCTGCGTGTGTCTGGACATCCAGCCCAATCGCTATCACAAAAGGCATTCAATTTAATCTCAGATGAAGCAGAAAAGAACAATCCTTGACCTGCAGTGCCTTTGATATAACGTAACACACGTTCAGTAGCTTGCATATGCAAATCAGTGGGACTGTGAGTGAACTGACTCAATTGGTGCACTGCATAAGCTAAATCAGGTCGTGTATTGCAGAGATAAAGCAATCTGCCTACTAAACGTTTGTAAACAGAAGGGTCTGAAAGTGTTTTACCAGAGGTGGCAGAGAGCTTTGTACCTGGAATGGAAGGAGAATCACAAGGTTCTGCACTAAGAAAACCATAATCAGTTAGTAAATCTAAGGCAAATTTCCTTTGATTTAATAGAATACCCTTTTCTGTCCTAGCAATCTCTAGTCCAAGAAAGAATTTCAATTCACCAAGATCTTTGATGGTGAAAGTTAGATCTAATTGGTGTTTGAGATCAGTGATAGCTTTGAGATCATTACCTGCCAAAATAATGTCATCAACATATACAAGAGCAATGGTAAAAGACTTGTCAAGGCTACGAACAAACATTGAATAATCTGCCTTAGACTGTTTGTAACCAGCAGCAGTTAAGAAGTTGGACAACTTAATATTCCATTGACGACTAGCCTGTTTTAGCCCATATATAGATTTGTTAAGACGACAAACAGGATTTTTAAAACCAGGGGGTACATTCAAACCTGGAGGAATCTTCATGTAGACCTCTTCATCAAGGTCTCCATGAAGAAAAGCGGTATTAACATCAAGCTGATGCAAATACCACTTGTTAATGGCAGCTAAAGATAAAACAAGACGCACAGTAGTGTGTTTAACAACGGGTGCAAAAGTTTCTAAGTAGTCTAAGCCAGGGGTTTGAGTGTATCCCTTAGCAACTAAACGAGACTTAAACCTTTCTATTTCACCATTTGAAAGAAATTTAACTTTGAAAACCCACATGTTTCCTATGGCAATCTTCCCATCAGGTAACTCTACAATAGTCCATGTATTAGTTTTATCTAATGAAGCTAATTCAGAATTGCAAGCTTCTGACCACCTAGGATCCTTAATAGCTTCTTTGTAAGACCTAGGTTCTAGAATGGCAGAACTGGCCAGAATATACTTTTTGTATTCTGGGCTGAGATTATCAAAAGACATGACCTGAGATATAGGGTAAGTAACACCATTACATTCAACAGTACAAATATAGTCATTAAGCTTCTTAGGGCGCACCTTAACACGAGGAGGCCTCGCATATGGTGGAGGTTCTACTGCCTGAATTACGTCAACCAGATCAAGAGGCTCCTCAGGAAATGGTAAAGGTGCATCTAAAACAGTAGGAATTGGTGAAGAATGTGAAGGAGATGGTAAAGGAAAAGTAGTTGGGGTATGAGGAACCACTGTTTCTTGAACTTGAATGCAAGGAAAACAAAAATCAAAGTCAAGTGTGGAGTTAGAAGTAGCAAAAGGAAAAACATGTTCATGGAAAACAGTGTCGCGTGAATAAAATATGTTATGGGAAACGAGGTTATACAGCCTATACCCTTTAACAGTATTGATGAATCCTAAAAAAACACAAGGATCAGCCCTAGGGGCAAACTTGGATCTATTATGTTGCAAGGTAGATGCAAATACTAAACAACCAAAGACCCTGAAATCATTATAGACTGGTTTGGTGTGAAAAAGTAGTTCAAAAGGAGACAAGTTTTGTAACAGAGGAGATGGCAGTCTATTAATCAAGAAAACCGAGTGAAGAACAGCAAAACCCCAAAACTTAATAGGTAAAGAGGCCTGAAACATAAGAGCACGAGCTACAGCTAATATATGTTGATGTTTCCTCTCAACACGACCATTTTGTTGAGAGGAAGCTACACAGGTTGTTTGATGTATAATCCCAAACTCACTGTAGAAAGAAGGAATGTTGAATTCTTGCCCATTGTCGGTTCTTATAGTTTTAATTTTAGAAGAAAATTGAGTGTTAACAAAATTTGGCAGATCTAACATGATTTGCCGAGCTTCACCCTTTGTTTTGAGTAAGTAAACCCACGTGTGTCGTGAAAAATCATCAACACAAGTGAGAAAATACCGAAAACCATCAATGGTAGGAACCTGATAGGGACCCCATATATCTAAATGAAGTAAGTCAAACGGATTCAGAGCATGAGATGTGCTAACAGGAAATGGGAGACGCTTTTGTTTAGCTAAAGGGCAAACAGTACAAGGAGTTTTATTACTACAAACAGAAGGTTTAACACAGTCCCCTGCGTCGTGGCTTCGTCGCCAGAGACCGCAAGAGAGTTCCTCAAAACTCACGACTCTGTTTTCTCCGACCGTCCGGTACCCGCGGCCGTCGACTACCTCACCTACGGCTCGGCCGATTTCTTCTTCGCCCCCTACGGGCCGTACTGGAAATTCATGAAGAAGCTCTGCGTGTCCGAGCTGCTCGGCGGGCGGATCCTGGACCGGATGCTCCCGCTGCGGCGGGACGAGATCGGGCGCTCTCTGCAGCGGACGCGGAACAGAGCGGAGGCAGGGGAGCCGATGGACGTCGGAGGGGAGCTGATTCGGGTCGCGAACAACGTGATCTCGGTGATGGCCATGGGGGAGAGGTGCTCTGGCGGGGCGGACGAGGCGGATTGGGTCAGGAAGCTGGTTGCGGAGACGGCGGAGCTCACCGGGAAGTTCAATCTCTCCGACTACGTTTGGTTCTGCAAGAGATTGGACCTCCAAGGGTTTGGGAAGCGGCTCGAGGATTTGAGGGAGAGGTTCGATTCGATGATGGAGAGGATCATCGAGGAGCACGTGGAAGCGAGGATGAATAAGAAGAAGAAGACGACGGTGGTCGGGGGAAATGGTGGCGAGGTGAAAGATCTTCTTGATGTGTTGCTCGATATAAAGGAGGACCAAGATTCTGAGATCAAACTCACTCGTGAAAACATTAAGGCCTTCATCTGGGTGCGTGCGCGCGTAATGAGATACAAATTAATTTCTTTCCATTACCTTCTTATATATACTACGAATTTTGATTAATTTTGCTTCTTATGCAGGATATATTTGCGGCGGGGACGGAATCGTCCGCCATCACTACAGAATGGGCGATGGCGGAGCTGATCAACCACCCAGAGATACTGAATAGAGCAAGGAAGGAGATCGATTCGGTGGTGGGGAAATCTAGATTGGTTCAGGAGTCGGATATTCCGAACCTTCCTTACCTCCAAGCGATCGTGAAGGAGACAATGAGGCTCCATCCAGCCGCTCCACTAATCATGAGGGAGTCGAGCCGGGACTGTGAAATTCAGGGCTACAAGATTCCAGCCAGGACCAGACTGTTTGTGAATGTCTGGGCCATCGGCAGGGACCCAAACCACTGGGACGAGCCTCTCGAGTTCGAACCCGAGAGGTTCATGGATGGCAAGATGGACGCAAGAGGACAACATTTCGAGTTTTTGCCGTTCGGAAGTGGGAGAAGGGTGTGCCCTGGCACCACGCTGGCTCTGCATATGGTGCACGCTAACCTAGCCGCAATGATTCAGTGCTTTGAGTGGAAGGTTCATGGATCGACCAAGAGCGATGGGAATATTGTTGATATGGAAGAAGGAGTTGGGCTTACCATTCCAAGGGCTCATCCTTTGATCTGTGTTCCCGTGGCTAGGCTCCATCCATTTCCGACTATTGAAATGGGTGACTCAGTGACTGACCAATAGTTGGACATTGAAGAGTCAATTTGAATTGATCTTCGTTATAGAAAGTTTGATTTGCCTTTGACTTTTGTTTTTATATAATGTTGTGTTTGAGAACTTCTCTAAGAAAGGAGCTCTCACCTTTCATACCACCTTAGCTTCTTGTTACAATAAAAAATTACTCTTTCTTAATTATATATTCGAATGGAAAAGTTTACTATAGAATTTTGCGGTTGTTAAGTGAATTATCAGCATAACTATTGACTTGATATAAACTTGGGTGATATTTTGTAATTTCAAATGTCCGACTATGATGGAAGCCTGTGGTGCTGCTGCTCTACGTGACTGGTATTGAAAGTGTTTTTTTTTTTTTTGGTCGAAATATTGAAAGTGTTTGTTAAGTAATAAGGGTTCTTAAATCCTCGTCGCTATTATGAAATTCATAGTACTGCAACCCCAAAATCTACTAATGATACGATGGCTTTTCTTTTTTACAGAAATTTATGGGAAAGGAATTAAGTATGTTCGGACGAAAGTTAATATTGGAAATCATGACGATTTGAATACTCGATCTCTTGATCAAACCATATTTGAATCACAATACAGTGACGGGGTCTTCAGAAATATTGTTGGAATGAGATGGTAGAGGCGAGGGGCTTAGCGATCGTGTTTGAGCGAGAAGACTTTTGTCTTTGATAAACGAATGAAATCGAAAAGGAAGAACAAAGGGATTTGAACCCCAAAAAGTTGTCCTCGTGGTAGCGTGAGAATGTGAGAGGATAAAAATATATCACATTTTAGAGCACAATAATTATCTAAAATTTTAGATGTTCCAGGGTGAATTAATTGTCGAGTGGTTTTCCATTTCGTTTTAATTTAATTTACTTATGCGGAAAATACATTTTAATCTATATAACTGAAGGTAATTGAAATTTAGATTATTGGTTGTAGTTTGATGGCATCAATTACAAATTAAGATCTTGATGGTGATTTCAGATTGGCCTTCAAGAGATTTACGTCTTGACAAGCTGCCCCTGCATTTCACTCTCCTTCGTCTTAAACATTTTGTTGGTTCAAGCTCTTATATGTCTAGTAAATCCCATATGTCTTGCGAGAAGGGCAAGGCAATTCAAGTTGCGGAAATATAACCATAAATATGCGTAAATATAAGTGAGAATTGAGATAGAAAGAAATGAGATCTCACATCTATGGATTGACAATTGATTATTGAACCTAGATCCTTGAGTATTCAATTCGACTTGAATCGATCAAAGCGAAATTTTTTTTGGTGTTGACTAGTTTTGGGTTGAATGCGGATTTCATCAAAATTCAACCCGTTTTTTTATTCAATCCACATCCAAAAATCAAAACTTCATTTTATATATAACATGAATAATACGAATAGGTTTTTTTAATAGAATATGAATAGTCTTTATTATAACAGTCCTTATAATATGGATAACTGTTACAGGGACTTCCTACAGTAACTTGGCAGGTAAAATACATTGGATACCACTTAAGTTTGAGAATTGGGGCAGACATACCATTTAAGTTTGAATAGGGCGTCGGGTACCACTGAACTCTATTATTTGTGCACGCGGTACCACTTAAGTTTAATGTCAGGTGCATTCCGTTAAAGTTAACAGAATATTCTTGGAATATTATGTTTTCTAAATTTCTTAATTGGTCCTTCTACTTTTCTTATTGTAAAAAATCATTTTGACTTATTAAAAACATCAATTTTTATTATTTAGTTGGTATCCTCTTTTGAAGACTTGATACCAAATTAATTTTTTTAATAAAAAATTTAGAATCAACTATCGTTATAAGTATTTTTAATTATCATTATGTTTTTTAATAATTGAATTATTCTCTAAAGCAAATATATCTTATGAATTCTGTTTAGTTGGAATCTTCTTTTGAAGACTTTGATACCAAACCAATTTTTGAATAGAAAATGTAGAATCAATTATCATTATAAGTATTTTCAATTACCATTATATGTTATAATAATTGAATAATTTGTTGAAGCAAATATATCCTATGAATTCTTTATCGATATAAATAATATGAGGATGTTATATTTAATTCTCGTACATCATGCTAATGTTGTATAATTTTCAATGTTAAATATCATTGTAATTTTCTAATATAATATTTTAGATTTTCCATATTAATTAAATTTACTAATTCTAATTCTCTTCCTATAGTCGTATTTTCTTTTCTAGGTTTGTTACGGAATGTTGTAGATTTTATTTATTTATTTATTGGTTACTTCCGTTCTCTTTTCGTTCTAATTTTTCTTTAATTACTGGAATATGTTTAATTCTTTCTGACTGTTTCAATTTATCCTTCTTTGGTCTAGATGTATTGATGATCGATTATGTTCTATTTTAACTATTTTTAATAGTACTTCTAATTGGATTAGTGATTTAAATAGATCTTCTAATATGTATTTTAAATATTTATTATTATATTCTATATATTTATTCTTCTTCTTGATATATTTTTATTATTTTTACTAATTTATCTATTTTATTGTCAATTTTGATTAGTCATTTTAGTAATATTATGTTTAGAAGGTTTTTTAATTTCTATATTAGATAAAAACTTGTTGAAATATAGTTTTGGATGTTTTTAAAATTTTAGGTATAAAAAAATAATTAAACTTTTGGGTTGGATGGAAAACTAGAAGGATGCACATTTTGAAGACTTTAATGGTACCCGCCGCCCTATTTAAATTTAAGTGGTATGTTTGTCCTAATTCTCAAACTTAAGTGGTAGCCGAGGTATTTTACCCGTAACTTGGCTATAATTTTAAGTTAGGTATGTCTGCCCTAATTCTCAAACTTAAGCGGATGTCTCGAGCCTCGTGCGGGGGAAAGGAATCTAAGGGGGCTGGAGGTAGTAGGTGGAAATTGGGAACAGATTCCCGTCTCCCATTACACACTTTCGCCCTATTCGCACGGGAGACGTTATTTTAAAGCACATTTTTTAGAACATTTTATTTCAAAACATGATACAGGAGTCCATGACAGGTAGAGAGTCCACAACGCCACACAATTCAAGTGTCCTAGGATCACTAATTCACACAATCAACCAACACAATATGAAGAAGAGAGGAGACTTTTTAAATGCATCAACATCCTCCATAGTGCTACACAACCTCCCTAGGTTGCATATTACTATAGAGATTGTCAATTCAAAGCATGTTGAGCAGGTAATTGCAAGGAACACGTACTTGGAGTCCTCAAATCAAAATCTGGACAGTGGACTAGGCTCCAAGCACACAAACAGATCTAAACAGTCAAATCAAAACATCTCCCCAACACTTAAGTTCGACATTGATCTCAATGGAGAAGAGGGAACAATGTTACCGGTATGCTCAGACTGCAGTGGGACTGGAAGGTGGACCAGTCAGGAGTGAAGAGGACTGGAAATGGGACCAGTCGGTGCAAAGGCACGGCTAAAGAAAACACAATCACTCAAGCACAGATACGTTAGGTTAAGTTGGAAGTCCAATAGTACATCATCCAAAAGAAAAGAAAATAAACCAAACAAAAGCCAGTTTGCACTCCGAACCAAAACAAAAGAAAGCACAACCGAGCCAGCGAGTACAACCTACTCGAGTTGGTCGAAGCCAATCTGATCCATGAGGTCGTCGACCCCGTATATCGGTGGTGGCGGTGAGTGGTCCCACCGAGTAGTCCAGTGATGCTTCTAAGGGGGATGACAGGACTGGAGCAGGTGCTCCTGGTACTCCATTATCCAGCGGTTGCGTGCCTGCTCCCGCTCGATGCGAGCAGTGGTGACTCCCTGCTGAGCCTCCATCCGGTCGAGGAGCTCGTACAGAACCGTCATCCGAGAATGGTACTCGGCCTGGTGGGCCGAATACTGCTGGTAAAACTGGACCTGATGGTCCATGAGCTGCTGGTTCTGGACCCCAAGGTGGGAACCGGGACCAATGAATTCCCCTATGGGTATAACAGTACGACCGTACGAGATTTGTCCGCACATCGATGCATGAGTTGTGTTTTTTTTTGGAAATGTGGGTGGCCGTTTCATTAATACGAAACACGGTGTACAGAGTTTTTACAACACTGAAAGGAAGGAAAAGACCAAACAAAAAATAAGATTGAAACTAACGGTGGCCCAACAAGGCCCAAAGAACCCTGGTCCAAAAACCACAAGGACAACCCACCCCTAGCAACCCTACTTCGTTCGCCCAATCACCATGAGGACGGCCGCTGATTGTATCTTCCACCGCCGAACATAGCCTCCTTCACTCTTCTGCCTTCACAAAGACAAACGCTGGGGAGCGATGGTGAAGAAGCCAAGAACAGCTCCAGGCACCGGCAACACCACCAGCCCGACGAAGCACCGACAAGAGGAAAGGAAGGAGAACCAACAACGAGGAGAACCATTCCCCAAGACGACTTCGAACTCCACTTGCACAACAAGTAAAACCCGAGAGCCAATCTCGAGCCAAGGACAGAGGAATGGTGACAAAATCACCACAATATGAGCAAACAACTGGATCTCGTCCTCCAAAGTGACATCCTTACTCACAAGCTCCCTGAATCTTCATCCAAGACAACAAAGGTCCCTTCTTCTCCGAATCATCCCCATTTATGGGTGAAGCAAGTGGAGGAGGATGGAGGAGCAGAGAGGAGCAAGCGGACCGACGCGGATCGGCCCCCTCAAACACCTCCACGTCAACGCCAAGTCTTGAAATAGGACATAAAAGCACAACTTAGCATGAAATCGGCTTAAAATACGAGAATCGACTCTCAAACGGTTAAAAAATGGTGGTATAAACATGTGCAATTAATGGTCCATTATTTAGTGTGCGTGGTCAGCTTCTTCCACTTGGAGGACATTCTTTTCTTTTATATATTATCAATATGGGTTAAAGACACATTTGGTCACCGAGATTACAAAATCGGGACATGTTTAGTCACTAGAAAAAGTTAATATCAAATTTGGTCACTACAATTACTAAAACTGGACACATTTAGTCACTCGCCGTTAGTTGCCGTCCAACTCCGTTAAAAGAGTCCGTTATGTGCTGACGTGGCTAACGTGAGCGCCTAGTCAGCGCCGTTTTGGGCCGGAAATGGTCAAACCCGACCCGCCACGTCACTAAACCCGCCACGTATTAAACCCAACCCAATCCATTAACCCAACCCGACCCAGAAATAAACCCCTAACCCACTTAACCAGACCCTCTATGGGTGGAGGGGGAGAGAGAGAGGGCAGCGGAGGGGAGAGTAATGGCATGTCATCGTTGTCGCCGATATGAGAGAGAAGGAGGCGGGCGGCAGTAGTCGCCGGGAAGAGATGTGGGTGGGAGAGAAATATATATTATTAGGGTTGAAAAGAGAGAGGGTGAGATTATAGAGAATATGAATCAGATGCAGTAAAATTTTGATTTTCAAAATTACCCTAAAGGAATCTTGATCATAAGATTAAAATAGAAGGAAAAATAGAAAATTTAATGGTGTACAAAGAGATTGCTACGGTGGCTATCAAAAAATTAGTAGCCACCCTAAATCATCCCAGATGATGAGTAATCTGCACTTGGGATATGAAGCTATACTCTAACCTCTAATAAAGGAATCTCATGCCGTGATTATCTAAATCCAAACTATAAGAACAAATTGATAAAAAACAATAATTGAAGATTTTGATGATATTTAAAGGACTCAAACATGGAGCATTTCTACTATACTATATAGTATTGATGCTTTAATGTACAACTTAAAGTTGTACCGTGACATGAAATGTATAAGTTTAGATTGTACCATAAAAGAATTTGTGTCATTATGTTATGGTACAACTTTACAACTTGAAGTTGTACAATCACATAAATGTACAAGTTCAAACTGTACCATAAAAGAATTTGTACAGACAGTATAAGTATAATCTAAAGTTGTACCATAACGTTAAATGTACAATTTCAAATTGTACCATAAAAGTAAAAACCTATAGCACCAATACTATGTAGCATTGTAAAATTTCTCTCCTAAACATGTGACTAGCTAGTAATAATAACACTAGACCTATTCCTCTCCAACAACTTTTGAAATAATAGTTGGTTTAACAAACTGTTCCTTAACAACTTCCACTAGTCATTACATGAATCGATATTTAGCAAGTTGTTATAACTGCCTAAATTTGTATGCCATTAACCATTATTTATTGTTTTCTTCATTGATTGTCTCCCTTATGCCACACCAGCCGATCAAAATAATCTTAATTAATTAATATTCCTTAAACCTTCATGTTCCGGCTGCCTTCCCACCCAGTACATTACAACCTCTTGAAAGATTCAAAAAAAATCCCCAAAGCGTTTCTTAGTTTAGTGTGGTTCTATCTAGCCGGTTAGAAGGAATCATTATTTTGCTTAATTAGTGAGGACGACAATAACTACATCCCTTTCTTGGCGTGTTATTGTTCAGATTTTGGTATAGAAATATATCACTGACTGAGACACGTTATTGTGATGAGGAAGGGTTATATCATTTCTAAATTTCCAGATGTGATTAGATACATATGAAAAATTTGCCATGATTTAAGAATTAGAGTAAATTTGGCATGATTTTAAGAATTAGAGTTGTTCGTTCGTACTTCGTACCGCTTTAACTCCCTCATCGTTGGGGTGAGTCCGAATACCACATAAAAAAAATATATAATGAAAATATCTTTTTCAAGGTAACCTCGTTAGTAGTACGAGACCTTTAATTGAGAAGGTGTCCAAGTGGCAAGTGCATGCAAATCCTTGCGGGCTTGGCCTATCATTTTGTTGCTTCTGACTTCACCGCCCTTACCGTCCGATGATCCGCCGCCAATTAGCTAGGCGACTGAGGATTCCATCTCTGCTCCTAATGATTTTACGTATCCATTGAGTTTTACTATTTAAACCACGAATTAATCAAAGTTGGGAGCATGACACTATATACTAATCTCTAATGGGTGAACTCCCGTCCATACTTCTCTAACTTGAACCACAAAATTCATTTTATCTAAAAAAATAATATCCAACATTTATGATTCATTGAAATATATCAAGGTACATATAAAGAACGTAAACGCAAGCGTATACGTATGCTAGCCTTTGCCATATATATATATACGTGTGCATACACTTGACATCGTCTAATGAGGTTTCACTATCTAGATCATGTATTAACCAAATTTTGTACAAGATACTATACCTAACCTCTAATAGGTAAACCTCATACTTTAATCCTCTAAATATCAGTTTGATAAAAAAAATATTAATCGGTATTATATTGTACACCGGATGTTGGCTAAACTTTGCCATCTAGGTTCATATACACTCCTTTTGCGTGCCATGCTCACTTCCATTTCCATTTCTTGTGGTTGTTGACAACAACAACAACAAAAAATCGTTAAGAAAATGAAGCTATCATCTCTTGATAAATAAAACCTAAAAATAAAAACTTGTTTAATTAGAACTTTTAGCGAATTATAAAACTGAAGCATGACTGATGGAAGATTGTTTGAAAATAAAGTAATTTTTTTTTTGCATGATCTACATAATAAAAATGCTAAATTAAAACTATTAAATATGAAAAGGAGAAAAACTTAAAATATATTTTTATTTTATTATAGAAGAAATTAGATAGATGTTTCCACTTTTTTTTTGGTGATAGATGTTTACATTTTAGCAAGGTTGTCAAACCGGTTTAAGTCATTGAGCCGTTCAAGCAAGGGGTTTGAGGTTTAATGGTCTGATCGGGGTCCGGCCGGTTTGAGCCGTTTTGACGTTTTCTAAATATATATACAAATAAAGTAGTAATTAAAAATATAATGAGTGAAATAAAATTTATCTTACATATATCTATTAAAAACTTATTTTTAACAAAATAAATCTACCTAACCTCCATGATCCACCTACCATTTCCCTTCCTTCGTTCATTTTCCTCTCTTCCGCCTCTCTTCTTCTCCCTGTTTAGGGGTCAGACCGGGGGGTTTTCTGGAGGCCGTTTTGAAACCCGACTCGGGTCCAATCAGGTTCAACCGGGGGGTTCGATAGGGGTTTAACAACCTTGCATTTTAGTGAGCTTCTGATGTTATATCATATTTTGTTTGGTATAATGAACTCTATAAGTTTTGAGAATTTTATTCTGAAACGAAACATATTTTCTTGATTCATTTAGTTGGGAACCGTCTATAGTTTGTATCTCAGTAAATATTGTTTGCTTTATGACAAGCATTGTAAAACCGTATCGGAGGTCATACCGAAAAAGTCAACGATAGTGAATTTATATTAAAATCGTAATTCAACCGCTTCGTACCACTAAATCCGCCAACCAATTTAAATCCGATAAAAAATTCTGATTGAAGGTAAAGTTTTTCAATCCTTGCTTTATTGATTGTCTACCTTATGCCACACTACCCGTAAAAAAAAACCTTAATTAATATTCCTTTAGCCCCGCCGGTTCCGGATGCTTACAAGTTACAAGATATATATATATATATATATATATATATATATATATATATATATATATATATATTGGTATCACAAACTAACTGCCTGCATTAATCCTCAATCAAAAAGCCACCGCGGAAATTGATGGCGCTGAATTATGCTGTGATGACCAATTGCAGCCTGAAAAACCGACGGCCTAATCCCCTCCCCGGCCATCACAGCTTAAGCTTCGGCCATCATCTGACCACCTTTCTTTCTTCTACTTTCAAGGTACGTACGTATATATATATACATATGTTTCTGTTAACCGGCCGGTTCATCCTAATTCCATATCTGCCTAAATATCAGAAACCGTATTTTTTTTTAATTTTTAAGGATCTCTTGCAGATCCTGAACGTCGACGTCCTTCCCCTGCAAATCGATGTTCCACTAATGAAGTCCATGATCCGTAATATTGCTCCTCGGAAGCTACTGGACGATTTTGTTGATTCGGCCTTCCAGTTTGTTGATCAACCCTTGCTCCCGTCTCAGGTGATCATCATGCTCCGATGACCGATCGATGTTTATGATGAGTAAGAGCATTGATGGTTGAGATTATATATGTATGTTTTCCTGAGTTGCAGTGTAACTTTGCGCCGGTGGACGAACTGAAGGAAGGCGTTCGAGTCACGGACATGGTGGAGGGTATTATTCCCGATGACTTCTCCCAAGGAGTCTACATCCGAAATGGTAACTAATTAATTTTAAGTAATCATATCGTTCAAATAACCTCACACTTAAAACTTACTTCAACTCGATTCAATCTTCACTTCATATATCTCTAGTAGGGATGTCAATCAAACCCATGGCCGTGGGTACCCGACCGCCCCCGACCCAGTCAACGCGAGAAATTCCCGCTTTGACTGGATATGGGGCGGGTATGGATAAATCCCGCAAAAGTTTGATGGGTATGGGGTGGGTATGGTTTTAGCCTTCCCCGCCTCATACCCATACCCACCCCACCAAGAGAATTTCTTCACATATACAAAAATATGTGGATCAGATTATAATCTATCAATGGTGACGAGGATAACTCGAGGAAATAAATAGTATAAATCCAATTGAGTGACCATCTTAATGTAAACCTAATTCATTTCCCTCAATTCTCCTTTCACTCTTTCACTTTCCCCCTTGTCAATAAGATTATGTTAGTTAATTATTACTTAGCAGATGTATCAGAGTGAGAACATAATAAGTTGAAAAATATTATACTCTATATTATGTATTAAAGAATGTTTTAGGATCATATTCTTTGAATCGTATTAAGAAAATGACTGTGTTTTTGTTGACTTCGTGATATAATAGGTTCGTTTAGAGTTATAGTTAAAATTTTTCTTGTAAGTTTTAGGTATAATAATGTTGGATGTACGGGTACGGGCATTACCCATGGGTACCCGAAACCTACGGGTATGGGGATGGGTTTGCAAAACATTCTCCCGCATGGGTATGGGGCGAGTATGGGTTTGGGTATTTGAAGATGGGGATGGGAATGGTTTAGCCAAACCCGCCCCATTGACATCCCTAATCTCTAGTAATCTTCTACGTACATTCCTCCAATTGCTAGATGATGTAAATGTTTGTTTGTGGTATCACATCCATTATTTTAAAAAATTTACCAACAACTCGTGTTATTGGAACAAACTGGTTCTTGACAATAACTAAGACAATTTACTTAATCCCATTACTTTAATATCATTCTCGTATATGATGTAACCATGTGCATGCACCCCAAAGGAAACAACTCATGTATCTGGGAATGTAATCGACAAGAACCAGTTAGTTCTAACAACTCAAATTATTGGCAGAAGTTACCTAATACCATATTTGATACATTGCTACCACGACACAATAGTGCGAAAATAAGATAAGGGGTCATTTGGAACCTTTGATTATGGAAATGATGTATTACGAGAATGTGTGTATTAAAGATTATGTGTATACTAAGAATGTGTGGTTTTGAAAATTCATTGTTTGGAACTCATACAAGAATGCATGGATTATAGTTTAAATGAACTATGGATACTAAAATCTCACAAAAAATGTAAGATTATTAATATAATACATCATTTGCTATGTATTAGGAATACAACATGAATTATAAATACATGCATTTTCTTATTACATCAAGTCAAAAAAACGTTGTATTCTCAGGATACATGTATACTGAGAATACAACATCTGAAATCGGAGGTTCCAAACGAGTCCTAAGTAATTTGCCAAAGATGTCAAATTACCTCCCTACCCCTCCACATCCAAGACCGTTAGATCAGAGGAAGGGTAAATTGAATAAGAAATGAATGGTTGGTAGCCAAGATAATTAGTTACCAATCTTTTGCCGAATCCCTTGTTTGCAGGACCAAATCCCCTGTTTGGAGGATTACAATCCACGGAATCCATGTTTGGAAGGACAAACCACATCTGGGTAGAAGGAGAAGGAATGCTCCATGCCCTGTACTTCCAAAAGGGCAGTAGTAGTGATGGAGAATGGAGTGTCTTCTACAACAATAGACACTTGGAGACTGAAACGTTCAAGATGGAGAAAGACAGGGCCAAACCGTCCTTTATTCCTGCGGTTGAAGGCCATGCCCTTGCAATCTTATCGGCCCACTTGTTCAATTGGGTGGGTTCCTAGTTCCTACTACAACTTTTAAAGTTATCATAGTATTTGTCACTTGTATTTTTGACTTGTTAGAAAAGGTTTTGCAAGGTGCTAGCATCGTCTACTTGATGAATTTTAAAATGAGAATTTTGTCAATAGTGTTGAATTTAAAAATCTAAGAATTTATTAGGAATTTGGAGCATTATGCATTTGAAAGTTCAAACAATCTTTTGTTTAGTTGTTTTGATCATGAATTATATTTAATCATTAAGAAACTAATCTACCTTATTATCCTTTTATATTATATTAGTTACTATAATAGAAAGAGGACAAACTTGGAATAATAAAGATTAATAGGGATATAGCCTATAGCTGTCATTTTACAACTTGATTTTTCAACCATTATCCAAATTCCAAGTTATTATGTGAGATTTGTAAATTCGGATCCGTAGGACTTCCGGATTTGGAACGAAAAATGAGCGCAAATCCATGGGGCCCACAAATCTGCCTCCAAATTTTTTGGCCTAGCAAACAACGAAGTGCTATCAAATCCTTGATAGTTAGGTTTTTGGGGTGTAAATCCTTTATACAAATCCAATAAGCAAACGACCCCTTAAATTAAGGGTGTTAGGAGTCTATATATCCACTCTCATGGCTCACAAGTCACATATGTGTATATATTGTAACGTTAGGCGCGTGCGCTAGCCTTTTCCAAAGTGAATCATGCACGGGATAACAATGAATTGCATGTTATATATTTTTGCATGTATAGATGAGATTTGGGAAAGTGAACAAGGACCTTAGCAACACGGATGTGGTGGTGCATGGTGGGAAGTTCTACGCAGTAGCCGAGACTCATGCTGCTCAAGAATTCGACATCCTGACTCTTGATGCCATAGGTGAATGGGATATCAATGGAGCTTGGGATCGACCTTTCACCGCCCACCCAAAAGTACGGTTCTGCCAGCCCCAGCCTGCCTGTAGATTTATTTCTTCCTTCCCTGCTTGGTTTTGTTCATGCATGTATATATATGGTAATGATCTGCATGCAGAAAGCTCCGGTTACCGGCGAGCTAGTCATATTTGGGATGCAGGCCTTCAAACCGTTCATAGAACTGGGAGTTGTTTCTGGTACGTACGAACGACATTATCTTAATTAATGGGCATAGTGACATGGTTTGTACTGTACGTAACATATGTATATTCATCTTAATTAATTAACTGCTCAAAATAAATTAATTACAGCTGATGGGGAGAAATTACTGCACAAAGTGGACCTCAACCTCAGCAGGTGCTCCCTCGTTCACGATGTTGGGATTACTGAGAGGTACGTATGTACGTGCGTAACTAATTATACTGTGGATCGAGTCGAGGGATTGATTAAATTAACGTTGGAAAGGAAAGCGTTTCAATTCGAATCTGATTTTACAGGTACAATGTGATCATGGATTTTCCACTCACCATAGACCTTAACAGACTCCTCATGGGAGGACCGTAAGTTAGTTAATACCACCAGACAGTACTGGCGTACGTACGTAGCCAAGAATTCAATTAAGGTGGACTCAACGTGGAAAAATAAGTAGATAGGTTTCGGAATGTGTACGTTTTCGCATGCTGAAAAGTTTCTAAACTATACATTTCGCTTGCAAGTTACGATGTATGTCATTCTTAAATTATTCCACCGAAAATCATTTCTGATTTCATCACTTTTTCACATTTTTCATTGCACTAACTGTTCTTTCTACACTTGCAATGGCAACTGGTAGCAATTAAACGTTGAGTTTTCTTTTTAAATTAAACTGATACGTAATATATTAATTAGAAGGTAAGTGGAGATCACAAAACATTACATTAAAAAAAATTGTTTGCAATAATAAGAAAATTTCGTATTCAATTCATAACCACATTAAAAATTTATTACCACATTTTTTGGATCAAGGTGGTGCAAAAGACCTCCATTGGCCCTAAGTGGCTCCACCACCTCCACTAGAGGATCTTTGTAACACCTTAGGCGGATCCCACATTGACAAATCGAGAGATCCATGGTTCATAAGTAAAAAAAACTGGTCTTAACTGACAAGACGCTTTTTGGGGTGAAATGAAGAAGATCTTGTGAGAACTCCGAAGTTAAACGTGCTCGGCATGGAACACTGCAAGGATGGGTGATCTTATGGAAAGTCCCTTGATATGCACTCTAAGTCAAAATCCGTGAGGGTCGAGGCGCAAACCGGACAATATCTTGCTTGGGAAAAGGTCCGAGATGTTACAAGTGGTATCAGAGCCTCTTCGCGTCCCTCTTTAACGATGGTGGGGAAAACCTCAACAAAGACGTTGAGTCCCAATGGGGGGGGGGGGATCCCACATCGACAAAGCACGGGGAACGATCCATGGTTCATAAGTAAGAAACCGACCTTAACTGGCAAGATGTGTTTTGGAATGAAATGAAGGAGTTCTTGTGAGAACTCCGAAGTTAAACGTGCTCAGCGTGGAACACTGCAAGTCCTTTGATATATTTTAAGTAGATTAAGATATAACCCCCATAATTCCTTTTTTTAGTAATAACCCGCATAATTCTTAGCTGCTATACAAAATTAACCCTTATTACATAAATGCCAAATAACTCAGTCTCCAAGAAAATTTAAACATCGAAATAATATTCAAAATACCATAAAACATAAATAATATCCAAATGCAGTAATCTATGAAAATTTTGTTTCCATCAATTGATCACATGATTCTTTTTTTTTTTTTATGCACCAAAAGTATAATCACATGCATTCTCATGAACCCATATGTTATTTTTCTCGATCGTTTTAGGATCGACATCCTTATATTTCTTAATTAGATCGTTCATAATAACTCGGACACACTCTTTCTTCACTTGCATGCAACAGCCGTAATCAAGACAGCAACCAATAAGAAATTGTGAGATGAGAGGTTCCTTGCAATAGTAATCCATAGCTCTGTAGCACTGTTCTGCAGAGGGGTTATTCATGGTGGCTTGTGCAGGAGTACTGGAGATTGAGATTATAGCCATAATCCACAACACAATTAACGTTGTCGTTGTCACTGCAACTCTTCTACAGGAGTACCTGATCATCATCATGTTAAAATTTGATTTTTGTACTAAAATTGTATGTGATATCGATCTTCCTTATCACACATTTCATTTTGTAATATGCCATATACATATATAACTTGTAAAAAGTAACCTTTTCAGTTTCGAAATTAAGAAACATTAATAAGAGTGTAACTTACCGAACCTTAAGCTTTATTGCAACAATATTAGAAACACACTTTGTTTTTAGGGTAAATATCATTAGGCCACCTAAACTTCGGAAAGATGTATTTGTGGTCTCCTAACACGACTTTTTATCTCCGGTAATGTTGATTAGTTAACGATCAACACATTAACCGATAACCAACAGAAGGATGATAATGATATACGAGATGGTTTGGAAGCAGACACATCTAGAAGCTACCGAGCGCTTTCTGAAAGAAACCCAATTTATACGCCCACAACAAATAGACCAAAATGTACGCGTGGGGTACAAAAATTGATGCCGACGGTGATAAACCTCTCGTCGGAAAACCCATAAGAAACAACCTCCAAATCAACTTAGTCTTCTAATGGTAAATGCAAAAACAGCCCACAATTGGATGCCCGTTATGAGCCCATTACGAGAAGTACTTGTGGCGGGCGTCAAGCGCGAGATGCCTGCTTCTCCTGATCAGTTCTTGGTTCAGTTGTTTCCTGTACTGCAATTCTGCAAATCACCAATCAACCCTCTGGCCGGGAACAAGTGAGAGAGGATTATAAAGCTGGGTTTGATCGAAAATGAAACAGCTAAACAACACTCTTCGTGTTAGTATAGATACAGAGTACAGAGGAGTGGGCTTTGGCCCTAAAGCCCACTTATTTCTTTCTCCGTTTCAAGCAGGCCTAACTAGTGATTCTCACTTCAATTAAAACTAAAAAGCCCAACTAAGTTTATATGCTGATGCTTTACGTTTTAACAACTCTCCTCATGTTTTCTTTTAATTCAACAAGTACCCTTCGAGATTAATCAATCCATTGTAAAAAAAAAAAGATTAATCAATCCAATCCTCAATGATTAATCGATCTTCAGTCTACTGTTTACCCCAGCTAGGGCTGTCAATCATCCGAGCCAAGTCGAACTTTGCCATCGTTCGGGCTAGGCTCGTTAATATATTTTCAGGTTTGAGCTCGGTTCGTGTCCGTCACGAGGTTTAATATGCAAGCTCGAGTTTGGCTCTTTATGAAAATGAAAGCTGGAGATCGACTCGAGCTCGGCTCGCCAAATAAGTTTAACGAGTCCAAAATCGAGTTCAACACATAAAATGTTCATTATAGCTCAAGATTGAGCTAGAACTGAGCACAAAATTGCATTCAAACCTGTAGCAAAGTCTAGCAAAACAAAACACAATATTTATCCCTATTTTAATACATAAAATCTATGAATTCCAATCCTTTCAGATGCCAAGCCGTTAAATGAGCTTGTTCGCGAGCTTTCGAGCTGAACATGGCAGGGCTCGAGTTCGGCTCGTTTAGTTAACGAGCTTGTTCGCGAGCCAGCTAGATTAAGATGAATCGAGTCTCAAACGAGTTTTTCTCGAGTCGGAAGCGGAGCCGTTCATGAGCGGCTTGGTTCATTAACAGCCCTAACCCCAGCTATCCAGCTACAGTGTTTTCCAACACACTCTCTAACACTGATTCACCCTTGAACACATATTAGAGATTCTTTTCCTATTAATCACATCACACAAGCAATTCTCTAGCTCTCTCTGTATGATATGATCTCTGGAAAAGGTTGCTAGGCTTTGGTTTCTGGTGTGATCTTTATAATGCTGAGATGATAGCCATTGATGCTTGAATAAGGTGAGTCTCCGTTATTTGAATTCCTTTCTATCTTGCTCTCTTGTGAGGTTATTTGATTCAATGAATTTGCCAGCCTTGTACCCCGATACTTCTTTCTTTTTAGAAACTTGATTACCACGAAAGATTATGAGTCTCTTAAGAAAGATTAGTTAAACAGGAAAAGTAGTTGACACAACACGAAGATAAGTCTGCAAATTAAAATAGAAAGAGATGTAAACCTACGATGGGCCTTCTGTAGGAGCTCGATCGCGCCGCTTTGATGATTTATTAAACTACTTTATCTATTTATACGCCACTAAACAAAGTAGTAGCATACATGAGTTTGTTTGTTGTACTTGCAAATGGATTCCAGTGATTAACAATTTAACATCATGAAGTATTATGAAAAGACAGAGGAAATTTTCAAAATTTTCATCCTCAAATAAATTTTGCTGCAACATATCATTGTTACATTAGATAGTTTGTATGCAATTCAACAAATTGCCAATTTCAAAGAGGCTACTGATAGGTAAAATGAGTTGAACTCCTATTGTAAAGATAGACATTTGAAACCCCACCAGCGTGGAGTATATATAGCTCACTTCTTTCAAATTACTATCTTTCAACCATCAGTCCATCACTACTTGCAGCAATAGTTCGTTGGTCTTCACAGATCAATGATCTATCGTACTAATCGCAACAAAGCAATCTCCTATTTAAATGGTTAGCGATTAATTATAAACCTCGCTTATTCGAAGCATTTTCGGTTCAATAACAAACCACAACCGTTTTCCCATCCCTACGATTCAGTAGGTGAGCTACGTTGATGATAAGGAAAGACTATAATGCCCTCAAATTTAATAATCGTATAACGCAGTGTCGTTTTGTACCCAAGAGAGAAAAGGGCACGCTATAAAATCCCTATCCTCCATTCTACGGAAACGCACGAACCCCACCATTTTGTTGATCATCTAGGAATACTCTTACATTCATATACATATTTTTACCCCAAAAATTAAAGGTTTCAACATTGACACTTTTTTCAGACTGAATTCCTCTTTATTTTCCCTTAATATTCTGTAGTCGTTCTCAAATTACACCACTACAATAAACACACTAATCCAATCCATTTGTTATCTTTTTATAGACCAATTATAACGTGATTGAAAAAGAAAAGAAGGACAAACCATACTTTGGTTTATTGGATAAATTTTTTTGTTCATTTTTAATCTTACATAATTTGTCGAGTCCGGATCGTATCAAATCAAATCACACAGCACAAGTAGAGTCTAATATAAACTTTTAAAATATTTCATATATGCTCCTAATTTGTATTCCAACCCCTCAATCTTGTACCCACATGGATTGCTTCTTAATTCTTGTACTTGAGCTGATCAATCTTTCCATTCGTTGCTCCCTATGTGCTCTGTCTAGTCTCACTGTGAGCTTTTGCTTTACAGTTTGTAAGATGCACCATAAATGCTTCGATACCATACCCCATCCCATCCAGCATTTATAATTCAACCATAATATAGTTGTCTAGGGACTTAAATAGCTTAGGGTCTCTAATCATATATAATGAATCCATTTATGATATATCAAAAGAAGAAAAGTGATTACTTTTGTGTTGAAAAAAAAATATCAACCGTCTGATCTCAATCTGCTTCTCATTTAACTACAAGAGTTTCCTTCTCTCTGACATTCATCTTGTTCGCTGAACTAAGGTTAACAGGAACAAACGGAGCAATATGGCCATATCACTCGAGAGCATTTATGGGCTACCAGGCAGACATGCATCTACCCATTCTTCATTAAATCCCATATACACGCCTTTTCAGTCCTTCTCTCTATACTCCGGCCACCTTGGCTACAGAGCACCTTTATTTTCTTCCTCCATAGCTTTTAAAAAGCTCTCACTCCTTTCTTCATTACACTCTCTCGATCCATCCAGCTGCAAAAGAATGGCATCTACCCTCTTCTCTCTTCTCGCCATCTTCATCATCGTCATGGCAGAGTTTGTTGCTGGTCATGATCCTGAAGTTAGCGCAGCAACAGCAGCATACAAGGATCCTAGCAAGCCCATCAGGGTAAGGATCAACGACCTCATGGAGAGGATGTCCTTGTCGGAAAAGATCGGTCAGATGACCCAGATCGATCGGTCGAGGGCAACGACGGACGTCATGAGCAACTACTGCATAGGTAATCAACCGGCCAGCTAGCTTGTTATATATCACCATTTTGTATTTAATTAATGGCGGCCAAAGGAAAGAGTTTGTTACGTTGTTGGATTTTTTGGGGTTAGGGTTAAGCTAGCAAAGATTAAGCAACACTACTGTTTGGAAGTAAGTAATCATATATATTGCTGTCCTTTGTTGTTGAAGGGAGCGTGTTGAGCGTTTCGGACAGCGTTCCAGGGCAGAAACCCGGGGATCGGACACCCCACAATTTCTCCTCCCGGAAATGGATCATGACCATCAACAAACTGCAGGAGGCAGCTCTGGCGACGAGGCTTGGCATCCCGATGCTCTACGCCATTGATGCTGTCCACGGACACAACTATGCGTACAGATCCACCATTTTCCCACACAATGTGGGCCTCGGAGCTACAAGGTTGGTGGGTGACGAGAATATATATATATATATATATATATATATAAAAGTTAAATGCTCAAATATTGGTTTCGATCTGTACGACAGTCTTAATTTGTTTCTTTCATGTGATATGTGATCTAACAGATCCACGGACGTTAAGTAGTAATTCTTCAAAAAAAAAAAAAAAACCTTTGATTTCAGGGATCCCCAACTTGTGAAAAGGATCGGAGCTGCCACGGCTCTTGAAGCAAGGGCAACGGGTGTCCGATACGTTTTCTCTCCCACCATTGCGGTAATTACTAGTCTCTAGCTAGTTGTTAAATCGTACTAGAAGTTGTAGTACGATTATTGGCTATGCCGCTGCAGGCGGCTGCTATTTGTTATTGTTTGATTTCCTCTTGCTGTCTGTCTGTCTGTCTCTCTCTCTGGCGCTTCCTTCCTTCCGCAGGTTTGCCGGGATCCAAGGTGGGGGAGATGTTACGAGAGCTACAGCGAGGATCCCGCCCTGGTGAAGCTCATGACTGAGACGATGATCGCGGGACTTGAGGGCGACATCCCGCCTAATTACTCCATCAAGGGCGTGCCCTTTGTGGAAACTGGCCAGTACCAACGAAGCTAGCCAGCTAGCTACTGTCATTAACTTAAATAATTAATTTCTAGATCATGATTATGTTTAGTTGATATACTTCCTTATTGATCATCGATCGATGGATTATCTATCAGGACCAAAGTGGCAGCGTGCGCTAAGCATTTCGTCGGAGACGGTGGCACCAGCGGCGGGGTGGACCGAGGAAACGCTGAAATGCCATGGAAGGAGCTGGCCGCCGTCCACTTGCCACCCTACAGCACAGCCATTCTTAAGGGCGTCGCTTCGGTGATGCTCTCTTACTCCAGCTGGAACGGCCAGAAAATGCATGCAAATCGTCGACTCGTCACTGGCTTGCTCAAGACAAGACTCAAATTCAGGGTATGTACCTACGTAGCCTCTTTTCCCTGTAGCTTAGCGCAGTAGAAAAGTTGTTTGTTTTTTTTTTTTTTTTTTGTTCTGTAGCTTAGCGTAGTAGTAGAAAAGTTACTCAACAAATTGGTAACACGTACGAAGTAGTCACTGAGATGAAGTTGTAAACCAAACTCAATCAGAAAGAACAACGTCGAATTAACGTGACATCCTCAACGAATATCGTTGAGACTAATAGAGAACCAATCTCTCAGAATCAATCTATAACTTGTAGAATTGAGTTCACCGTACAATAGAGGCGACTGTCAACCTATATATATACACCTAGTCGCCCTAATCTAACTAAGGCTCTAAATGTAATTAATTAAAGGATTTACTAATTACATTTAGCTACATAAACTTCCAACTTCTAACAGAAGTATCCTTTTGCCTTAGGGATTTGTGATCTCCGACTTCGAAGGGATTGATAAGATAAAGGACGCCAACTACTCCTACTCTGTGGAAGCTGGAATCAGTGCAGGGATAGACATGGTACTATATATATATATATATCTACATGTATATCCGTTTCTTTATTTGTTCCGTATTGGTTGCATAGCTAGCTTTATTATCTTATATTCAATTCATTCATTGCGTACGTTCATTCATTTTGTTAGGTGATGGCTCCCTACAAATTCAGAAGGTTCATTCGAACACTGACCTATCAAGTGGAGAAAGGAATCATCCCCATGACCAGAATCGACGATGCCGTTGCTAGGATTCTAAGGGTGAAGTTCACTATGGGGCTTTTCGAAAACCCATACGCCGATGTCGAGATGGGCCGCCAGCTCGGTAGCCAGGTGTGTAAATCAAACCATGCACACGGAAATCATGAAAATAAAAAGCAGATTTACGTAGTTTCTCTGTACGTACGATATGAGCACGACTATATATTCGCGTGTTAATTGTAACAGGAGCACAGAGAACTTGCAAGGGAAGCGGTTCGGAAATCACTTGTTCTCCTCAAGAACGACGGGCCGTTGCTGCCGCTTCCCAAGTACGGCGCTAAGATCTTGGTGGCGGGGACTCACGCCAACAACTTAGGCTATCAGTGCGGCGGTTGGACGATGCAATGGCAAGGCCAATCGGGAAACAACATAACCCAAGGTATATACATATATATTGTTGCTATATATTACATGAAAATAAATTATCGTCCTTCACAAGTTACGGGGTCCAATGAGTAGCTCATATAAATTAATTAAGGGGTCGTTTGGATGAGTCTTTTGGATGAGTCAATTGGGTCCAATTGACTCAAAATGAGACAGTTGGGTTACATTGGCTCGTTTGGCAGCAGAAAAGTAAAATGGATCAATTTGGGCCGGGACAATACTAATTATCTCGTTATGGGTCAATTTAAAATACCTGGGTGGGGGGCAGGCAATCTTCATTGACGCGTTTTTGGTCCCCACCTTCCAATTGTAACCCTCGTACCTTTCCTTCCTCTCTCTCTTCACTGGTACAACCCTTCCATCTTCTCTTTTCTTTCACGTTTCTCTTTGGGCTCTGAGCTTTAACAGACGGACTACATCGTGAAAACAAGATCCGCGATCTTCACCATGGCAAAAATCGAACAATTTTCTCTCTTCTTTTTTCTTCTTTTCTTCATCTTCTATCTCTCGTTCTCTTCTTCCTGTCCGCCTTCTTTGTCCGCTTCTCGAATCGACAAACAAAAATGCGGAGATGATGAAGATGGTGGTGGTTGGCACCGACTACAACGGCGATGAATTTGAAAATTAGGTTTGTTCTAATTGCATATCAAATTCGGGTTTTGCTTACTTATTTTGGATCTGACGCATGTGTTTTTTATGTGTTTTCATTTTAATTTCTTGGGGTTATGATCCGGGGGAGAAGAGAAAGGGCGGAGCAGTCGCCGGCGGCAAAGAACTTTGATGGTAGCCTTAATCACTGCCTCTTCCTTCATCTGAAGAGGAACCCTAACCTTCAATCTCTCGTTTTCTTCTTCTTCTCCCCTTCTCTGTTCGCTGTCGTATTCGGCACAGATCTTGGATGAATGTTTTAAGGGGGATTTTGGTTGTTTGATTCATGGGAAGATTTGGTTGTTTGATTAGTTAAATAGTTGTGGCGATGATGATGAAATAAGTGATCTTGATTTTTTTCTGGAAAGAGACAGTCGATCTTTGTTGGTCTGGAAATTTTGTTCTTTAGTTGCAAAGAGATGAAACGAAGATGGAGAAGAAGGATAAATTGAGGGCAATAGTGTCTTTTATGCAATTGCCTCATTCTAAATCTTGCATCTCAGATTACAAGCCAAACGGGATAATTTGGGACAAATTTCTCATAGAATTGCCTCACTTTTTAAAATGAAACATTTACTGCAAATTGCCTCATTTTACAAATGTTCCATCCAAACGACCCCTAAGTGTTGTTCACTATTTTATGCTCGTCTAGATTTCCCAGACGACATGTATTAATTAATATACTAATGCTTAATTATAACATACTTATTTGTAACCTGGCTTCCAGGAACCACCATTTTGAGCGCCATAGCGTCCACCGTGGATCCAAGCACGGAGGTCCTCTACTCAGTGGACCCATCGGCTGAACTGATCGAGCTCGGCAACTTCTCCCACGCGATCGTCGTGGTGGGAGAAGTGCCGTACGCCGAGTTTGATGGAGACAACGGCAACTTAACTATTCCTGAACCAGGGCTGACCACCATCTCCAACGTCTGCGACCGGGTGATCAGCTGCGTGGTGGTTTTGGTGTCTGGTCGGCCCCTCGTGCTCGAGCCGCACCTGCTCTCCAAGATCCACTCCTTGGTGGCAGCGTGGCTCCCCGGGACCGAAGGACAGGGAGTGGCGGATCTTCTCTTCGGGGACTGGCCATTTACCGGGAGGCTGCCCCGAACCTGGTTCAAGCGGGTCGACCAGCTGCCTATGAACGTCGGCGACCGGAACTACCTCCCTCTCTTCCCCTTCGGGTTCGGGTTAACTTAGTGGTCAACCCAAGCTAGCCGGCCGGTCCGACTGCCTCCCTCCGGTTAACTATATATCATCAGTCCGTACGTACGTACGTTGTGGTTTAGTAGAGTTGTGAGTCGTGTTGTTGAATGGCAACACTACCTTAATTATCTTGTGGACAAGTATTATCGAAGTGCCCTCTCTTCTATGTGGACAGTAATTAACATAGGTAGTACCGTAGTAGTATGCTCGATTGCTCGTAGTTTCGGAGTTGTTGGGATAGATCGATCAACTTGTTGGTTCATGAGCTCGAACATTGGATGGCAGTAGCACGCATTACTTCCTTATTCTATGAGAACAAAAACATATGATGTTATTTATGATTTTACCGCTTAATGATTAGTTGATTTATAACCCATCTTTTTATATACCAAATTTGGGTGTGGTGATTCTTTTATATTTTGTAATTGGTTTTCTTATGCCTTTTTTATTTACTGTCTTCTCAAGTATTCTTTATTTTCTCCATTCCTGCGGCTTTTCTTTTTGCCCCTCTTCTTCGTGGCATTTGCTCTTTATTATTATTATTATTTTTTGCTATCATTTTTGGTAATAAAATGGAGTATAAACATTTTTCAATAGATAGAAGAATTAGGGATTAGAGGAAGAGATTGAGGGAAGAATGAAGGAGAATTCGGCCAGCGCCTAGTTGGACATAGATAAAGGGGAACAGAGAGTTCGGCCGGAAGGGGAGAGAGAGTGTTCAGTACTTAATTTAATAATTTGTTTTTCCTCAATCCCGATAGAGAGGTCATCCTTGCGAAGGGGTTCACTTCCCGGTCCTTGATAATCCAATGATGGTGGAAGCTCTGGTCCTCCGGGAGGCGATTGGTTGGTGTGTGGCTAATGGATTCACTGACATGAGGTTTGAAAGTGATGCACAGGTTTTAATTGAGAAGATTCTCCGGAAAGACGTTCGGGATAATCATATAGGGGTAATTCTGGTGGAGATAGTCAATTTATTTGCTTCAAATGTAGGTTTCACTGTTCGATTTGTAGGTCGGCGAAATAATAGGGTAGCTCATTTGGTAGCTAGACAGGCCCTGTCCTTGTTCCCGACTACTTGTCGCTTGTTTGATTTTCGGGCCTGGCTGTATTCCAGGATGTAATGATCTATTGGTTTTAATCTAATGATTATCTTTTGTCAAAAAAAAAAAAGATGGTAGGTTTGTTACAGTAGCATCTTTTTGTAAACAAGATAAAAGGAGAGCAGGTGGTCTATCTACCCCCCTTCCCAAACACACTCGGAGTGGGCCATAAAATGGGTCAGCTCATTAAATTTTCGACCCACGAACTTCCAATCGAACCAACCCACCTCTACAACCCGTTTCTTGATTTCGTCACAAAGCCGACCCAGCTCCAGCCTCGTCTGTCTTTCTCCTCGTAGCATTCTCTCCACCGCCTGGCAGTCCATCTGAATTTCACTGAAAAGGAAACGATATCGACCGGCCAGCTCGATGCAAAATCCCACCACCATAGCTTCAGCAATTTCCAGATCCCATTGTCGCCGCGAGCGTCTGACTGCCGTCAAACGAAAAGAGCCCGCTCTGTCTCTCACCACAACCCCCATGCCAGTTCCTTGATCAGTCAAGCATGTAACATCGACATTGATTGTAAACTTGTTGATGTAGTTTGTGTTAATACGATATTTATATAACCCGCATAATTCCTAATTGCTATCCAAAACTAACCCTTACTACATGAATGCCAAATAACTCCACAAAAGTCTCACGGAAAATTAAAATATCCAAATAATATTCAGAATACCATAAACATAAATAATATCCAAATGCAATAATCGATGAAAACTCAGTTTCCAACAATCGATCACATCATATTTTTCCATGCACCCATAGTATACTCACATGCATTCTGATGGACCCATATGTTTCTCAATAAGATCTTTCATAATGATTCGGACACACTCTTTCTTCACTAGGATATGCAATAGTCATAATCAAGCCAGCAACCAGTAAGAACTGCGAGACGAGAAGTGGCTTGCTACAGGAATCCATAGCTCTATAGCACTATTCTGCAGAGGGGTTATTCATGGTGGCTTGTGCAGAGTACTAGAGATTGAGATTATAGCCATAATCCACAACACCATTAACGTCGTCATTGTTGTCATTGCAACTCTTCCACAGAGTACATGTTCATCATCATGTTAATGTTTTATTTCTGTAACAAAATTGTATGTGGTATTTATCTTCCTAATCACACCTTTCATTTTGTAATATACCATATATATGTAACTTGTAAAACGTAACCTCTCCCATTTTTAAATTAAGGAACATCAAGAAGAACGTAACTTCCAAACATTAAGCTTAGTTATTGCAACAATATTAGAAACATATAATCTTTGTTTTTAGGGAAAATATCATTAGGACACCTAAACTTTCAAAAAGATGTATTTGTGATAATCCTAGCACGATATTTTGTCTTCGTTAATATTGATTAGTTAACGATCAACATATTGACCGATAATGTGTCATTTAAGAAGTAGTTTCTTTATTATTAATGAGATGGATTTTTCTCAAAACTTACTTAAAAAGATTTAAAAAAATTAAATCCTTTATGAGAATTTGAGGTTAATAAGCAATCTCAATTTATATTGTATGTTCTCTCCTCTCGTTTACTAATTTATCTAATTTTGGAGGAAGATAAATCAATTGAAGTGCACGTCAAAGTCTTTAGACAACAGTAACTTAGTTACTTGAATTTCGATGGAAGATAAGACATTTGAAGGTACGTTCCTTGTATGTCGTACTAGTTTAGCCGCTTGTGCTTTGCGGCGAGTAGAACGGAAATTTTATGTTATACCTAAGCAAACATGTAGTACTCTTTCTGTTATACTAGTTTATTGGCTCATTTGGTAGCTCAGGATGATACATGATTAAAATTTATCTAATTTGGGAGGAAGATAAAACAAATCAATTACAAGCCCAAGTCTTTAGAGTACAATAGTACACCAATCTGTTCCCTATATATATATGAGCTTTTGCTTTACAATTAGTTACACGCACTCAATAATGCTTTGCTACCATGTCCCCATCCCATCCAGCGTTTATAATTCAACCATGATATAGTTTCTTTAGGGACTTAAATAGCTTAGGGTCTCTAGTCATCATTAATCCATTTCTGTCTTCTGATATATCAAAAGAAGAAAGTATATGCAACACACCACTTCAATTCATTTTGTTCTGAATTCCTTGTATCGATCCTTTTTTTTACTTGATTCCTATTTAACGCCCTAATTTTTAGAAAAAAATTGCCCTAAATTAACCAAATAGATGATATTACCCCCAATTCCTAAAACGGTCGCCCCCAATCCATCGCCCTAATCCTTAGTTCTACTTTACTCGCCGCCGGCGGAATGAATATTCAGCTCATGAAAGACACTGACGGATCCTTCGCCCATGATGATTTCCATATCCCTCAATCTGCCCGTCGAGTAGACATGGCCTAGAGGAATCTAAGCCGGCGAGGCGGAATTCTTTTCTCTTATCTGCGCCCTCAATCGGCGCAATGGAAGATATCGCGGCGGCGACGGATGGCAGTAGAGCATCCACGCGAGGAATCTTCAGGGCGAGCGGCAAGCAGCGCAGCGGGGGCCTTGGCGGCATCGAGAGGGTGGAAGAAGCAGCGGAGCAGCCGCCGCGAGGAATCCCCTCCAGGGTGAACGACGGTGATGATTTCGACAGGGCGATGGCGATGATTCGGCGAATATTTCCACAACAACGGCGATGATTTCTAGGGTGTGGGTGAAGAATAGGATTTCCGTGAGAGTTCCGCCAGCGACGAGCAGAGCGGGATTCTTTTCCTTTCGTCAGCTGCGACGATGATTTCTACGATGACAACTAATATTTAGGGATTAGGGCGAGAGTTTTTGGAATTTAGTTAGAGATTGGGAATTTTTAGGGCAAAAATGTCAATCTATCTTAATTAGGGTGGAAATTTTGAAAAATTAGGTCGTTAATTAGTACTTCTCTTCTCTTATGAAATCCTCCGCAGGCTACTACATGAACAATCCTTTTTTTTTTTTTTGACAAAAGATAATCATATATTGATCAAGAAAAAAGATAGTTACATCCTGGAGTTCAGCCAGGCCTGATAATCAAAGGAACGACTCATTGTCGGGTACAGAGAGAGGGCTTTGCGAGCCACCAAATGGGCTACCCTATTACAATGCCGACCTACAAATCGAACACGAAACCCAGAATAGCTGTTAAAATAATGCAAAAGCTCTTCCAGAACAGCTCCAACTCGGTTATCCCTAGCATCCTTCTGGTTGATTTTATCAATCAGCACCTTCGCATCCCCTTCAAACCGCACAACTGAGAGACCAACCTCCAAGCACCACAAAATCGCCTCCCGGAGGACAAGCAGTTCCACCACCATAGGGTCATCCATAGACGGAAGGTGAATCCCTTTAACCAGCCAAACCTCTCTCGAGGGGGTGAGCAGAACCAAACCGCCAGCCGAGTGCGACCCCTTCCTCACGGCGCCATCCCACATGCAAACCACACCATCTCCCCCCGCGGGGCCTAGATTTGTAAACCCAGATTGACCCTCTATAGGGGCCAAAGCCCTGAAAGCCCTATCCAGCGGCAAGCGGACCCACTCCTCATATTGTTGGTGGAACTGACGCATCAGGGCAGGAAATCCCACTTGCTTGCCTTCAAAAACCACCCAGTTCCGAGATCGCCAAATACGCCACAGGACAGCCACCACAGCCATCAACAAGGTAGGCTGGCGAATCATGGTCAAAAGGCGTTTTAGAAACATAGGGAAAGTATGCCGCGGGAGACCCTCTCCTAGATACCCCAGGCCTGAGTAATCCCAAATGGCACGAGCCACATGGCAGTCCAAAAATAAATGCTCCATTGTTTCCGCATCATGAACAATCCTTGAAAAGATAAATTAAAGAAAAAGCAAAATGGAAAGATGCCCCTAAAGTCCGGTTTATGTGGCCTTTTCTTATTACCCCTCCTCTACGTGGCATTTGCTCTTTTTTATTAGGGTTAATATTATTAATTTTAATACTAATCTTTGGCGACATTGCTATTTATATTACGAATTTTCAATAATACAATTTGAAAAATTATGACATTGCTCTTTTTTCTTATTACCCCTCCTCTACGTACCCTCCTCTTGGCATTTGCTCTACTTTATTATTGTTATTTATTATTATCTTTTTGGTAAATGGAGTATAATCATTCATACAATGAAAGAAGAATTATGAATTTGGGGGAAGAATTAGAGACAAGAGGAAGAGATTGAGGGAAGAATGAAGGAAAAATTCGGCTAGCTCCGAGTTGGACATAAACAGAGTGGCAAAAGAGAGTTCGGATAGAAGGGGAG